GCCCGTGCCTCACTTGTGTAGCCTTCACGCGCCCCCTCACTCACTGTCACCGTAGTCGTCGTGTCCATCATGGCCGTATTTCTCATAGTACTTTCTGCCGTTGAAGTACGGATCAGGGTTCGACTGGATCTCGCTGTCATCGTCCGGGTGGTTGGCCTCTGCGTTGGCCTGCTCCATCTCGCCGTGGATCGTGTTGCCCTCGTTCAGCTGGTTCTCCCCGGTCTCGGCCTGGTCCACTGGGATTGTTTCGATTTCACTCTCTGGCACAGGTAAGGTCGGTGGCATGTGGCTCGCACTCGCCGGCATGTCCCCTGGGTCGCGTGGTCTGGAGACATCCATCGTGTCTCTTTCGTCGAGTGCTTCAAGGACGTCCCGTGGTATATCCGTCATCTCCCTGAAGAACTTCAACATGGTCGGCGACCCCACCTGCACGACTGTCGTGTCGCTGACCTTCCCTGCTTGCCATCTAGAGAAGAGCTCCCTTGTGGCAGGCCTGTTCAAGTCCAGCTGTGGAAGAGGCTTCGGTGTCGGGCGACATTTCGCCTTCGGTTGTGTCTCCCTGAGACACGCTGGCACTTGGTCCTCAGGGAGTCTTTTGCCGTTCTTCATCCAGCCTCCTGGATAGTCCTTCTTCTCCATCTTGATGTGCAGTTGCAATGTCGCTCCCCTGTCCAGCTCCCACTCCCATGCCCGCGACGATGTACCGTCGTCCCAGCAGAGGCCAACGCACAGACGGGTCTTGGTTGGTTCGTAACTCAACCCTGCTGCTGCCGCCATCACGTCATGGTCCTCGTTCGGGGTCTTCAGGCGGTCCATATGGTCTTGCCGGGCTTCTTCCAGGTATTGGAGGTATGCTTGGTAGCGAGCCTCTTCCTGAGCCTTCTCGTCCTCCTCGGCCTGTCTAATCATGTCCACTGCCGAGATCTCGCGGTCCCAGTCCTCGATGTTCTTGTCGATGTCTTGGAGCGTGGCGTTGCGGTGTCCCACTAGTCTTCCCCACCATGTGGCCACCCATGCATGTTCAACGATGATGGCTTCTCCGGTGGCTGCGGGAGGTACATCTCCCGACACGCTGACCAACAAAGCCTCGAGAGCTTGTCTGTCAACTTGGAGCGGGCCGTCGTGCTCCTGTAGTCTGTTCATGAGTTGCAAAGCCCGGCTCGTAGTATCGTCTTCCGGTAGCTTGTTGAACGCGTCCTGGAGCATTTGGAGGATGGGCTTCTTGGTAGCTTGTGGGTCCTCCTTGGTTGGGGCCGTGATTTCCTGGACATTCGTCTGCATGTAGATCGATTCTTCTTCTTCTTCTTCCTCCTCGTACGCTGGCGTAGGTCTGTCAGATGGTGCCGACGGCTGTGAGGGTACCGGGCCTTCCTCGGTCTGGAGGCGTCCTCGCAGGCTCCTTGCTCGCTGCAGCGCGGCAGCTGCATCCAATTGTAGGCGTGCCATGAACTCGGGGAGGGCGTCAGCCATGGCGTTGTGGTGGTGTTCGGGGTAATCCACCAAGGTCTCGACCACGTTGTCAGCGATGTGTGCTGGTAGAAGAGGGCTCGAACTGGGGCTTAGGGAGTCGGATGGCTGCATGTCAAAGAGGGCCTGCCAGACTGCCATCATATCGTCCTTGGTCATCTCTGTGTCCTCGGCCTGCATCTCAGCGGTCGCTGTTTCGCCTTCTGCTTGCTCTGCTTCCGGAGTTTTTGGTGCCGGCACTTCGGCGGAGCATCGAGCACTTGCCGGTCGCTGCTTGGGGGTTGGTTTTCTCGTGGGAGGCGTGGGCGGCGGTCGTGCTTGTAGTGGAGGATTGTTGCCCTTCTTCCATGGGGGGCGCAATGTGCGAACGCTGGAGGTTTTCCGGTCCGGCGGGAGTTCCCGCCAGAGTCTGGTAGGGGATCTCTTGTGGACCGGTACATCCTTTGCCTTGCCGGACATGAGGGAGGCGAAGTCAGCATCTGTGTCGATGGATGTGTCGGAGTCATCCAGGACGATCTGCGGGTGGTTTCGTCTGGGTGGCTCCAGGGCGGTGGAGGACGTGGCTCTCATAGGTGTTGGGGAGCGCGAGCGGTCTCGTTGGTCGTGGGCATCGTCTTGGTTCTCGCTGTCCGAGGTCTCGGCGTCTGTCATGTCGAGGCAGCCACATGGTCGCATAGGTTCACCTCGACGAAGAAGGTGTAGTTCTTGGTACCACGCTCGGTTGATCAAGAAGGCCACTTTGTTTGCCAGCGTTTGGGCCTCCTCCATTGTGACCGGCGGTTCGCGGCGTGGGGTGCCCTGTGCTTGCATTCTCCGCTCATGTAGCCACCATCTGTGAAGGTAGTGGTTGCGGATGAGCTCGGTGTCTTCCATGAACTGTTGGCCGTCGGGCTCTGCCTCAAACTGTCGGCAGGCCTGCTGGAAGAAGTCCATGAGGGTGCGTACAGGTAGCCCTCGTTGTAGGAAGTCAACCCCCCTATCCAGGTGGGTCCAAAACCAAGATGGGGCGTCATGCGGTAGGAACGGCTCATCCCACGATGCGACCAGTCCTAGCATGAGAGGGACCTGCCAGCCAATGAAACTGGAGGCGTCATCCTGGCCGTCGTGTAGTTCTGGGTCGTGGTTTTCTTCTTGGGCAGGGCCTCGTAGGTGTTCAGGGGCTTGATCTTGCGGTCGAGGTACAGGTAGTCGCGGGTCGCGGTGTGGTCCGCACAGCCTCCGTGGCGGTCCGCAGTCCGAGAGCGTGGCTGACTTGCCGGTGGACTGGTGCAGCGCTGCCTGGTCATTGTTGGTTCGCGGGACCGCGGCTTTCTGCCCTTTGTTGCCGGTTTGAAGAGGTCCTGCTGGGGTGGAGTCGGCCTTGGCATTCTCGGTCGTCAAGTCTGGGGTGGGCCATGAGTCCCATTCCTTAGATTTCCCTTGGTCTCGAGGGGGTCCTGAATCGTGTACATCCCGTGCAGCAGGGTGTTGACGAAGAGGTGCACTCCGTTCTTCCGGCCGAGGTACTGGTAGTCCACGGGATGTCTCGGCCTCGTAGTAGTCGTGGCGTCTGGGCAGGATGTTCGTCTCGTTCACTGCTTGGTTGGGGTCCAGGCCGCTTGTTTGTGCGTTGCCGTTGTCTGTGTTGTCCAACTGCGCATGTGTGGCAGGCCCGCTGTTCTGATGGCCCCTTGCGTCTCGAGCAGCTTGGTCTTGCGATTGAGGTACAGGTAGTTGCTGGATCTCCGTTCCTGTTGGGGTGGAGTCGGCCTTGGTGCTCTTGGTCATCATAGCTAGGGTGGGACGCAAGGCCCGTTCTTTTGAGTTCCCTTGGTCTCGACGGGGTCCCGAATCATGTACGTCCCGTGCAGCAGGGTGTTGACGAGGATGTGCACTCCGTTCTTCCGGCCGAGGTACTGGTAGTCCACGGGATGTCTCGGTCTCGTAGTGCTCGTGGCGTCTGGGCAGGGTTATCATCTCGTTCACTGCTGGGTTGGAGTCCAGGCCGCTTGGTTGTGCGTTGACGCCGTCTGCATTGTCCAACTGTGCTGGTGTGGTGGGCCCGCTGTTCTGATGGTCCCTTGCGTGTCGATGGGGGCCGGAATCATGTACCTCTTGTACGGCAGGGTCTCGGTGATGAGGTGCACTCCGTTCTTGCGGCCGATGTACCAGTAGTCCTCGGATGATCTCCCTCGTGGTCGATGGCCATGTTGGGGCACTTCCTTCTCGTTCTGGTTCGAATTGATGCCGGGGCGGGAAGTATTCTTGCTCCTCCTGGCGAGCAGTGGTCTTGGGCAAGTGCTGTCCGGCGGTCAGGATGGCATACAGCAGAATCGTCACGAGTTGCTGCATGGCGATATTATGTATACAGGGCTTACAAACGGCCTGCGAGTTCTACCTCTGGTTGACAAGGGCTGCGAAAGTTGTGCGTAATTCAAGGAGGGTCCACAGGGTGTTTCAATGGTTAAGCGCGTGGAAAATATGGGTTAGGGCAACCTACTTTCGTTCAACGTCGTTACTCAGCCATAGGCGTCACCTCAGCGACCTGAGCGAAGCGGTGTCAAAGATGGGATCGGGCTGTACAGCGTTACGCAGTCAGGGCTAGTTGTCTACCTGAGGCCCAGCGGATGTCCATGTTGGATACCCAGCTGGATTCGAACTGTTTCCAGGCTATGGGGTCCTGAGCTGTCTGCCGCCAGTCCTGCGAAGCGCATGCTTTGTTGAGTGCTTCTTCCTCCTTGGTATGGTATGCGTAGAAGCTTCCCTGGTGGGTGATGCCATCAGGTCGTCGTTGTTGTTCTCTCCACCACTTGAGAGTACGGTATGAGTCCATGTAGGAACTAGCGGGCGGGTGGGTGAAAGGGTTTAGGGCTCAGGGCTTTGGGTTTAGGGCTAAAGGCTTGGGGTCTAGGGCTTTGGGTTTAAGGCTTAAAGCTCAGGCGGTTTGGGCTCGGGGCTTGAGGTTTGAGTGCTTACAGGAATAGGGCCCTGTGTGCTCTAGACGTGAGCTGTGTCATCGTATGGTGTGGGTTCGCACTTTCGATGTTGGAATTTGGGAGTCGCATACCTGCAACCCCTTCTACATCCCAATACCACGAACAGCGACTTATAAGCTACTGACTATCTCCGAGAAGCCATAGAAGGGCTAGTACAAGAGAGGAGGCTACCTTGGAACTTGAAATTTCATCTGTAGGCTGCCTGCGCCATAAAGCCCAAACCTATCCAGACTGGGAGTTTCCGAAAATTTGGGGGGGGGTACCTTATTTTGGGGTCCTTATAATAAGGATCCTACTAGTTAGGGTACTATTTTAGGGTCCCCTATTTTCGGTTTGGGACGAAGATTTGGGGGAGTTTTGGGGTTCGTTTCTGGGCCTGGCCACACGTGAAGACCTCTAAACCCCAAGCCCAACAGGTTTCGGGCTTCAGGGTTTAGGAGCGTAGGGTTTTGTGGTTTGTTTGTTTTTTTGAGCTCCTGTAGGGTTCAGGGTTTCGGATTTCAGGGTTTAAGAGCTTAGGGTTTTGTAGTTTAGGGTTCAGGGTTTAGGGTTTAGGGTCTACAGTGTGTGATTGGTCTGATTCTGCAAGAGCTCGTCCCCACAGAATAAGTGGCCGAGCCAGGTCGTGACGTTCCACCACACGTCATCTTGCAACTCCACGAAGTCGAGCAAGTCCTCACCGAGGACTTGGGATAGGCCACGGTAGACTCTAGAAGGCTTGCAAGTGGTTCTGAGATCCCTTAACCCTAAACCCTGGACCCCTATATTCAAGACTCTACGTCAGGGGCATGACGAGAATGCTGTTGCACATTTGTTGAAGCTCTTGTACGCCCTTGAGTGGTTCAGCAGGACTGTCATGTGGGAATGTAGAGCGCTGAGCATCATTCCCACGATCCCTCATTGTCACTGTCAGTGGGTCCGGGCCTCGCCGTGGAATTGTGGTTTAGAGATAATATACGGGCCTTAAGAGTTAGAATAGGGTTTTGGGGCCCTGTATACCATCGTTTTATTAAGGAGCCCCCAAAAATTTATTGGTAATTATTTAGGCCCCTCTAGTAGGCTTCAGGACTTCGCGCTCAAAGTGCAGGGCCATCGTGATACCGAGCGGCTGGCTAGAGGATTATGGTTGGACACAAAACCATTGATACACACATACATACACCATACGTCGCAAGTGAAACAATAGACAGTGTTGGAAGGGACCCTAAACCCTAAACCTTAAACCCTAAACCCTAAACCCTAAACCGTACACAATGGGTGCAGGATTTATGGATCAGGGTTTTAGGGTGGAACCTCCAGCTTGCAACCCCAGGCCCCTCAGCCCGAATTTCTGTAAGCCTTAAACTCCACAGAAACCAGGCTCTAAACCCAAAATCCTAAAGCCGAAGCCCCAGACGCCCTGAAGCCCAGACCTGCTGCACCACAACCCTGAATCACAACACCCACCTAAAACCTGCCCCCCCCCCCCCAAAAAAAAAAAATAAATACAAAACTCTAACACCCTGTCGACTAATCAAGGCATAATATAGTGGCCCGAATGATTAGACAGGGTTTGGGGGTATATCAATTACAGTCGAGGCAGAATCAGGAATCAGGAACCAGTTTTCAGGCTGCTATGCTACGCGCAGGGTCCGTTCTTGCTGTCTTGATCACCTCCCAGAGAGCGCTGAGCGCGGCGAACAGGATGGAGAGAATCCACCCATTCCTCTGGGTCTGGGGTGTCGGGCTTAGGATTTGGGGTTCAGGGCTTCGGGCTTCTCACCGACTTTATAATAGCAACCCGAGAGCGAATGTCAGGGCCATAGCTGTAGCAAACATGACGTGAAATCCCAAATCATCCTAGAAAACAAACCGGCAACCCTCCGCCGGAAGCCCCCCTAAACTCCTACACAAGTAAGCAGCTGGAGTTCCGATAGTTGGCGGTCATGGGCACCCCAAGGACCTGCTGCCGGTCATCGAACATGTCTACCTGGCTTGGTTTAGGGCTAGGTTTGAGGGTTTAGGGCTTTTGGCGTATTGGGTGCTGGTTTTGGCTTTCAGGGGGGGTCAGGGTTCTCAGTGCTAATTGTATTTATTAGTCGGATGAAACGGCCACCGGCTCGAACACCAAACCATGAATCCGAAATCGTTGTGCGGAGAGTTGTTCTGAGGTGCGGCTTGGCCGTTGGTGCAGCTTGACTCGGCTTGCGGGGTCTGGCCTAACTTTCAGTCACAGGAGGCTTGCCTTGGCTTGGCTTTGGCTTGCTTGTCTTAGGCATGTTTGGTGAACACCACCTAGAAGGCAAACAAGGCTTGAAGATAATAAACTTTGGTGTCTCATCTTGACTCGTTATTCTTTTGCTATGTAGCCTCAGTCCCGAGCCAAACCGTCGGGTCAGCTGGCAGGTCTGGATTCATATAATGTTGCTTTTGCACAACACAGGTTCCAGCGGTACAGCTGCTGAGGATATAGACTGGCGTCACTCGCACCTGTAATTGGGCTGCGTGTAGACGTGGCAGCTTCTGTGCATATATATATATATATATGTATATATATATATATTTATATTTACAGGCACACATGTAGCATACAACGTGCAGCACATAGCGCATGGCATATAGTGCATAGCATACACACCAGATAGCATCGAGCATGTAGCACAGAGCACCTGGTCTATAGTCTGTGTTATTATATACATGTACAGATATTGCTCTGTCTGTGTATATATGTAGGTGGATAGACGGGTAGATAGGCACATACATAGATCTGTGTGTGGATGTCGTATACATAATGTGTATATATGTGTATATATACACATATATATATATACACATATAAAGATGTATATATATATATATATGTGTGTATATGTTATACATGTTTATAGCACAGAAACATATATCATGACTGAGAAAACATATACATACATACTTACTTACTTACATACTGTAAAGAACATATACACATATATATATATATATATATATATATATGTGTGTCACATGTGGGTTTGTGTAATTCGATATCAAAGTATAAACATAATCTATTCATTGTACACATTATATATGTATATATCTATATGCACATCTCTATATATATATATATATATATATAATATGTATATACTATACGTATGGCATGTGTTGAAAATGCGTATACACTATTTATATAGACACACCTACATCGTAGTACGTATATGGACAGATGGATGGATGGATGGATGGATGGATGGATGGATGGATGAGCGATAGACATGCATGCATGCTTGAATGCATGCATATGTTTACATCTATATTATGAGTAATAACCCTTCGCAGGTATAAGGTTCAAGATCAAACCTCAGCATGATTGTCATCTGAGTCATCTGTCAGTACCTACAAAGACCCAAACCAGTGCATCATGAACCCTAGAACGAGGATCAGGATGTGGGGATTAGGATGGTGGGCTCGGGGGTGAGCAAGAACCAAGGCACCTTCCGTTCAACGGCACGCAGCAGGGTTGCGACTTCCACAGCATCGGGCCGTTTCGACAGGATGGCATCGGCGGCCGCATCCACCAGCACGAGGCCTCGGGAAAGCGTGCGAGGATTCTTCACGGATGACCTATTGCGCCGTGGCCGGAGTGGTCGCAGTAGCAGTAGCAGGGGTCGGAGCCGGAGCAGGAGCGAGAGCCGAAGCAGTAGCAGGAGGAGGAGGAGTAGTTGTCATCGTCCTCCTACTACTACTACTACTACTACCACTACTACTACGGCGACTACCACTGCCACGACGACGACGACTACTACTGCTGCTACTACTACTACTGCTGCTGCTGCTGCTACTACCACTTCTAACACTGCTGCTGCTGCTGCTGCTACTACTACTACTACTACTACTACTACTACTACTACTACTACTACTACTACTACTACTACTACTAAGAAAACTAGCACTCGTAAAGAATCGTAGTCGTAGTCCTCTTTACCGAACTTGTACAAAGTAAGCTTAACCCTTTGTGAACCCTCATACAACCCTAACCAAATCCTCAGCAACCACATAAAGCCTTCAACACTAGTCCCTAAACCCGCAGCCCTAATCCCTAAACCCTAATCATGGCCCTAATCCCGAAACTCTAGACCCTAAACCTCAAGGCCCAAAACCCTGAAACTCTAATCAGACCCTAATCCCTGAGCCCGAAAAGGCCAAGAGGCTGTCGCGCTCGAGGATCTGATTGATGTCGATGCAAACCTCTGTGGTTTCGGATATAGGACATAAGATTTAGAGGCTAGGGCTTCGGGCTTAAGATTTAGAGATTAGCATCTAGGACTTAAGATCTAGAGATTAGGGTTTAGGGTTTAGGGCTTATTTCGGGATTTCGGGCTGTAGGAGGGCTTAGGGTTTAGGGTTTGGGGGTTGGGGCTTACGGATTTAAGAAGTCGGACTTCAAGTTTTGGGGCGGCTGGAAAGGCCCGGCTCCCTGGGGCCCAGCCACTTTCAGAGGGTAGCCGGGTCCGAGTGGGGATGCTTTGTGCCATGAGGTTTAGGGAGGTTTAGGGTTTAGGGGTTATGGTCGTGCGAGGATACTGTGACGACTTTCGGAAGGGCTCCAGGTTTAGAGTTCCAGACGGGCTCTTCCCATAAGATGATTTGGGCTTTCCGTTTCTCGGGGCTTTGTTAGGGCTTAGAGGCTTTAGGGCCCTTTGGGGTTTAGGGTCTTGGGTTGTAGAAGATCAGGCTCCAGGTCAAGCGAGGTCTCAAGCGCTAGCGCTACCACGCTACGACGGCGGTTTATTGCAACCAGCGCTAATCCACTGCAGTTAATACAGCAGTCGAATTAATTAGAATACAGTCTGGGTGGTTACTATGCAGCAAAAAACTGATAAGTATTCCTAAGCCCTCAGCGAACCCTGCAAAACACCATAAATGCCTCAAAGAACACTGAAATACTAAGTCTTCCGGCCCAACAAAGCACCATCACTATTACCCAGGTCAGATGCAGCCCTAAACCCTGAACCCCTAAACCCTGAACCTCAAAACCCTACTAAACCAATGCCTGAATCACGTCCAGCATGATGATGCTGAGGCAAGCAGCCAACACCTCGGCTTTCCGAGGCTTCGGACGGAGCCTTCGCTAATAACTCGGAACCCTAAACCCGAAACCAAACTACCTATATAAACCTTAAACCCTAAGCCCTAAACACTAAACCCTAAAGCAAACAGAACCCTCTGCAATTCAAGGTTAATTCCAATTCTTCTCGTGCTCAAGTTAAACCCGCAGCAACAATCTAACACGAAGGAAAATGGGTGTTGTACTGCTCGGAACCGTTAAACCCTTAACCTCGAAACCTTGTCCCGACTCCGGCTCCCCAAACCCCTGAATGCTGGAACCACGGCGCCAGGATCAAAAGCAGTCCTGGGGAACAGGGATCCGCGTGAGCAATCCAGTCCAGCACGCCTGCAATTCCAAAGCAGATCCTGGGCTGCTGGGGCAGACAATGGTTTATGGGCTTCTGGGTTTAGAGAGTTTAAACTTTTTTTTGTGGGCCCCCTTTTGTTGTGTGGGCCTAGGGTTCAGGGTGTAAGGGATTAGGGAATCCATTCCATCACTCCAGCAAGTCCAAAACCGATCCTGTCACTTCAGTGTTGTAGGCTTTTGGTTCAGGGTCAGGGTTCCGTTCAGGGTTTCTTGAACGATTTCCTAGAAGGTCGCAGGTTTGGGGTTACGGTGCTGGGATGAGTTGGGCTTGGCATTTAGGAGGCCGGGTGCAATGCCCTTTCAAAGGATGGTAAAAAACAGCTGTAATGTCCCAGGAACCTCAAACAGGGTTTACAGGGCTTCCATATCGCCTCAGGCTTCTGGGGCTTCGCCCTAAGCCCCAAACCCTAAACCCTAAACCTTAAATCCCAAAGCCTCAACCCTATACCCTAAACCTTAAACCCTAAACCCTAAACCCTAAAGAAAGGCCCTTGAAGGGTTCGCGACCTGTGAAGTTCAGCTTCTATGGCCTCTGCCGCCTTGAAAGTCCGTGAACCAAGGAGGGGAAGAGTCGACGAACGTGGGTCTATATCCGTGCATATTAAAGGGAACTCCAGAAAGTTGGAATATGGATTAATGGTAGGATCCCCTATAATTTACCTTAAAGGGGTTACGACAATGATATTCCAACTTTCTGGCTTCTACTGTAGGAGATCAGAATCATCAGAAACCCTAAACCCCTCTAAATGATGTGAACCAAAAACCGACAATGCGTCCAGAAGGCCAGAGGTAAGCATGGCAACTATACCAAACACCAAACCCTTAGCCCAAGCTCCTAAACCCACAACGCCAAATTCAGGACCAAGACTCAGAAGTATGATGGTAAGAACACCGCAGTAGTCCATCATGGCACTCTCGTCCATGAAGTCTATCTGTATGTAGCGGCGCAGGTCCCACCAAGCTTTGATGTCCTGGGCGGTTCTGGGAGGCCCTCCAAACCGTTTAGGGGTTCAGGGGTTTAGGGTTTAGGGGTTTAGGGTTTAGGGGTTTTTGGGTTTAGGGGTTTAGGGTTTAGGTCGCTAATTTCTTACGACGAATCGAGAAAATGTTGCCCAGAAAAGCCTTGCATCACAATTTTTAAGAGCCCTACAATCGAAGTCATAAGAAGCGAAAGAAGAAGCAGAAGAACGAACGTGTGGAAAAAACAGGTACTGTTGGCAAACCCGGTCTCTTCGAGGCACATGAGATCCAGCCGATCTTTCCCGAGCGCCTCGTCCAAGCAGCGCTGGAGATCCTCGTCACTCGGAAGTCCGCCCAGAGCGTTATGATTGCCTGAGCTTCTTTTTGTTTGAACCCTCGTTTCCCTCCTTTCCCGGTCTGAGCTTCCTTGTTTTGAGTTTTCGCCCTGAAGATTAGGATTATGCTCATTAGTACTGATAGCCGTGTTATTACTATGTACTGTTGTTGCTACTAGACATTCACATTTTCGCTCTGCTGCATCTTCCTTTCGGTTTTTTGCTGGGAGGGGGACTGTAAGGTTAAACTTTAGGGGAAGTGTGGTGGCTGACGGGTTTGTGGCACAGGCTTTAGAGTTTAGGGTCGGGGTGTAAGGTTGTGGAAGGAGGGCTTGGGATGCTTGAGCTCAGGGTTAGTGTGCAGGGCCTACCCAGGAACCCCCAACCGATTGACCACAACACGCAGCTAGCCTTCACCCCTACGGTTGATGATATAAATCCTGCATGACCCATAATAAGGATTCCACCAAAATTCCCATAGTTTAGGGTCCTTAAGGTAATGCAGGATTTATATCATCAACCGTAGTAGACCGTGAGTCTGCAGAGTTCAATGGCCCGAAACCAAACATCCGGAACTCCAGTCTTAACGTCTAAGCTCGTCTCCGAAACCCCTGAATGCTAGACCTTTTCGGACGTAGAGGTTCTAGTTTCAGGGTTTCATATTTCATACCTCGGATTTAGGATTTAGTAGGGTTTGAATCCTCAAACACGCGACTCCTAAAACCTTAAAATCCTAAATCCAAAGCCACCCGGCATCAAACTTCCAAAACCCCAAGACCCTGTACTTTCAAGTCCTATTAACTGAACTCTAAACTCAAAAAAACCCTAACCGCCGATGACAGCAACATCGCCTAAAGAAAAATGTCCATAGAGGCCCCAAACCCTAAACCCTCAAAAAAAAAAAGAGAAAGTCCGTAATAGAGGCCGGTAGCTGTAAAGAATAGACTTCAAGCTGGAGCGATCCTTCTTACTCCAGGTGTCCACTTTGGAGTAGTTGGTCAAAGTGGTGAAGACGAGGAGCTGGTAGGCATTCCTGGAGGTTTAGGGTTTACCCATAGGCCCCAAAGTAGTTCCAATTTTTGGACTACCTTATAGGATTCTATATACGAACCCCCAAAAGGAACTACTTTGGGGCCTTAGGGCAGGGCTTAGGGGTGTTTAAGGGTTTAGGGTTCCGGGTTTAGGGATTAGGGCCTACCCATTCCTGGGCGCGAAGAAGAACATAAGCAAGAAACCCTACCAAAAAGAACTTCTAATCCGCGGCCCAAAACACCACCCCCCGCCCCCGCTTAAAGAAGAGCCTAAAACCTAATCCCGATAAACATGAAACCCTGAACGCCAAACCCTGGAATCCTAAAACCACCCATGAAACCCCAAACCATGAAAACCCTAAACCTGGGAAGCCCTACACCCTCAAGACCTGATAATATACGAGCCTTAATTAATAATTAGGATAAGGTTTGGGGGCATATTCTACCAGAACTATAATAAGGAACCCCCAGGCCCCTATTCTAATTATTACGGCCCCTACATTACCTTAAACCCTAAACCCTAAACCCTACCTTGAATCATAAACCTTGGCCCTACCCGAGGCTCCCCTTCATGCACGCAGTGGTGCAAAGGATGCCCTGGATGAGGTGGTACCTGGATGAGGTCGTATACCCAGAGGCCCCATAGTAGTTCCTTTTTGGGATTACCTTTTAGGATTCTATATATGAACCCCCAAAACTACTTTGGGGCCTCTGGGTAGAGTTCATTAGGGTTGAAGGTTTAAGGTTCAGGGTGGAGGGTTTAGGCTTTAGGGGCTAAGGATTGGTAAGATTTTGAAGAGTTTAGGGATTGCGGTTTTTTCGGTGCACAGGGGTGAAAGCGTGTCGGATGTGAAAGCTTTTCTGGACGTTGAGGTTGCAATGAATACTAGGGTTGCTTTACGGGAGCTCCCTTCAGGATTTGTGGAATTTAAAATTTCAGGATTTTGGGAGTTCGAGCTGTTCGACTCCAGTGCTTATGTGTTCTAGGAATCTCTACATGGGTAGAGTCTTGCCCTATGCTTGGCCCGAAGCCCTTGGCCCTAGATGTCAGATCCTAAACGGTTTGGGATTCAGGATGTTGGAATTTGAGGAACCCAGTTCTGATTGTTAAGGCCTCCTACATTACGAGAGCTCCATAGTGGAAAAGCTTGAAGATTCTCGGATCTTTTGGTAAGGTGTCAGTTTAGGGTTTGAGGGTTGGGGGGTGAAGAAGTTTATGGGTCTAAGGGTCCGAGGTTTATGGGTTTTGTGTTTTTGGATTTGGGGTTTCGAGTTAAGGGTTCTGGGCTGATGGGACTCATGCATTGCATTCAGCATTCCCTGTCGACGCAGGATTTGGCCCATCAGCTTTATGATTTAGCGCCCTTAACCCTAAACCTTGCACCCTAAACTGCGGCTTTTGGCTCAGGATTGAGGGTTTAAGGCATGCGAAATCGAAGCTTCTGTGTGGGTTCCAAATGTTCAAAGTTTAGGGCTTCTGATAAGTCTAGAAGCCAGGAAGATGCCGCGAAGCAGGTGCGCAGGAATACAGCAAGCAGGAAGGTACGCTGCTTGTTCGTCCATTCCTCAAGGCTGTGGGTTTGGGGTCGCGGACTGCCAACTTAAGGCTTGCTGTGAATGAACATTCTGAAAAAGATAGCTCATTCAACGAACCCTGGATATTTTGGTAGGAAAAGACATGAGTCCACAAAGGCAAAAGCATTCATGGACACGAAACGGTACATGCGCCTCGAACCCTCCATCAAAGAAGGGTGCATATGCTCTGATAAGGACACTCCTTACGCGAATCACTGTTCCGTAAGCCGTGGAGTCACATGACACACTTGTACCACGATTGCATTCTTACGCTGAACCCTGACACTCTAGTAGTCGAAATACCCGCATGAAGCTTCTTTGGCCTCCCGGACTGCAAATCAGAGCTGAGCCCTACACCACCAAGCCATTACGAGTTTAGGGGCCCTTAGAAAGGAGCTCTTGCTTACCTCTAATGGGATGATGATGGGGATCCTGCTAGCAAGGATCTTGAAAAAGGGTTTATAAATCAGGGCGGTGCATTACGGTTTAGGGCCTAAAGTTGAGGGTTTCGGGGTGCTCCAACCTTTCAATGACCCGGCCCAGACACCGGCGCTTGCGGCCATTCCCAGAGTACTTTTGTCCCGTAGAAGACGGAGAGCCTCTGACTCTGATTCTAGGATACCCAGTAACCTAAGAATAAAAAGGTTTTTTTTTGGTATTGGGTAACTTTATAAGGAACCTAGGACTACAAAAAGGGAATAAGGGTACTACTGGGCATCCTAGGATTGGTTCCGAGCCATAAGGATCGGGTGCTTTTTCCTCAACTGTCAAATCTATAGGGCCTTTGAGGGGGGCGCTGCTGTTAATGATCAAAGCAATGGCCTACATCAGGATGACATACACACTGAACTTCCGCTTTGGGCTTACAGGTCTTAGAGTTGCGGGGTTAGGGTGAACGGAGAGTGCTTCCGGATCCGTAGTAGGGTAGGATTTGAGTTTCAGGGGTCTGGGATTGTGGGATTAAGGGGTCACGGGGTAAGGTGTTGCTGGTGAGGTTCAGTTGTGCAGGCTGACGCGTCTTCGAGCTTGTTGCATCTTGTTTCAGCGATCGCCAGCCTGCAATCGAGGAATCTAGGAGATAAGATTGGTTTAAAGACTCAGGGAGCATTGATTCAGGGAACATGAGGTGCGAGATATGTTGGAAAGATTTGCAGCACACCATTTCTCGCCCCTTCGACGTCACCCACTAAACCCAGAATCCGTATCCCTAAACCCTAAACCCATCAATCATATTATGGCCTAAGCACTAAGACCCAAACCCAGCACGTCGAACATAGGACGCTTGAAGCTGTTGGTGAAATTTCGATGGAACCAATAAACCCTGAACCTAAATTCCAAAACCCTGAACCCTTAACTCCTAAAACCAGCAGAAAAAACGTGCCACACAAAGAAGAGCTCCAAAATCAGTATCAGCAGCTGCTGCCAGGTGAGGAGGATAAACAGCAGGATGGAAGATGCCCAGGTCATTGCCCGGAGATCTGTCTCCGTGGTTTCCCAGTTTCTCGTGACATCGTGAATGGTGACGGGCGGGTCCTGCAGGTCGCAGATGCTAGACTTGAGACTTCGCTGTTTCTCTCCCGGTCCCTCCCTCTCCCCCTCTTCTCTCTTCCTCCCTCTCCCCCCCTCTCCCTCCCCTAAACCCTAAACCCTAAACCCTAAACCCTCCCCTATCCCCCACACTTTCGGAAGGAGTGTCCTCTCTCTGATAGCAATCCGGAAATGCATCTTGCAGCCTCTGCAAGAGCTCGTAGGCCCTCTTCCCCATGCCAGCGTGCTTGAAGTTGTTCAACTTCGGCTCTAGCCTGGCTGCAACCTCACAGAAAAAGGGCTTAGGGTGTACCGTTTAGTGCTGTGGTAGATGGGGGTTTCCGAAAATAGGGGACCCTAATATGGTACCCTAAATAGTAGGATCCTTATTCTAATAGGAAACTCCCATATTTCTGGTATGCTATGGTGTGTTATGTTTTCTTATATTATAGTGGATCACCTTGGGGCCTGGGGTTTTAGGGTTTAGGGCTCAGGGTGCGGGGTTTAGGATGTAGGGCTTAGGAAGCCTTGGGTATCAGAGCTGTAGGTCTTGGAAAGCAAGAACCCCTGGGTCCCTAAATGCAGTTATAGAACAGTATGTATAGTATAGATATAGCATAGTATGATGTAGCATAGTAAAACATAGTAAAGTACAATACAGTACACCATAGTATACAATCGTATAGTATAGTATCCCCGCCTTATGGATGTGCACATCGGCTGCCACCTCCACCGACTGAATCACGAGGACCCGGAGGAGCAGAAATGCTCCCAGGAGGCAGATATTGTTGACCTTACTATAGGGGGCTTAACAATCAGAATCGGGCTCCTTAGAAAGGTTCCATAACAAAGGATCGAAAGTAGGGTTCTATAATTAGGTGTCCCTTCGGGCTTTCGGGTTTAGGGATTTGACTTCAGGAGTTGGGGTTGAGAGCACTAAGGAGCTAAGGACTTGGGAATTCAGAACTTTTGGGACTCCGGGGTTGGACTGTTTAGGGTTTTAAAAGCTTTGGTTTTACAACTCAAATTGGCGATGACCTCCTGACAACTCTGGAGTCCCGGGGTTCGGGATTTAGAGTGGTGTAGGGTTACACTTCAATCAGCGAAACCTGTAGGTGCTGGTCTACGTGATAGTGTTGTAAAGTCTAGCATGTAGCGATGCAAGTAACACACTGCCTATCATATAAGAGTTCGCCAATTGGCTATTTCGAAGTTCGTTCTGGACGCTGTTCCTCTCATGAAAGTTTGGTCTCCTAAACCCTTAACCCCAAACCCCTAAAGCCCTAAACCCTTAACCCCTGAACCCCAAACCTCTAAACCCTAAACCCTGACCCCTAAACCCCTAAACCCCTAAACCCAAAGCCCCAAACCACCCGCCGCCACGAACAGCTCCAGCCACCCTTGTCCTTTTCGAACCAGAGCCCTATACCTATATCCCTTAGTAGGAATTATTCAAGAAGGTCTACTAGCCGGTCTGTTTATTCTTTTGGGGGAACCATTACATTAAAGTACCCTTATAGAGACCCCCTTAAAGGAGCCCTTAAAGGGAACCTTATTCTTTTGGGGGAACCATGAAAAAGGACAAGGCTTGCTCCAGCCCTGAGCCCCGGGGCAATGTAAATCGGCGCGAAAGCGAAGTCTGCTCTGGCCTCTTCAGCGAAGCCGGCCTCGAGGGTTTTTTTTTGTGAGCTCCTTCCCTACAAAGCCCGAAGGTCTTCGAGAGCCTCGAGGGTTTAGGGATTTAGGGTTTAGGGTTTAGGGGTTTAGGGTTTAGAGTTTAGGGGATTAGGGTTTAGGGTTTTAGGATTTTGGGTTTAGGGCTTGGGTGTGGGGACGTAGGGTTTAGGATGTGAGGTTTAGAGATTTATAGGGTTTAGGGATGTACGGCTGAGGGTTCAGGATTTAGGGTTTAGAGATTTATAGAGTTTAGGGAATAACGGTTTAGGGTTTAGGGTTGAGGGATTTAGGGGTTACCCGCTTTCTGTGGATTTTACATGCCACATACCTTAAGCACACGACACATGCTATACACAATAAAACCTGAACCCTGAACTGTAAAGAGCCTTGTAGTGAATACGGGCTTCTGCACAGGTCTTGTAACGGCCTTGTAAAACCTCAGCGCGTTGGCTTCGTCTTCGAAGCTTAGGGGGTTCACGTTCAGGTTTCATGTTGCAGGGTTTCAAGAACCCCAACAAAAACCTAAACCCTGAACCCTAAACCCAAAATCTGAAACCCTGATACCTGAACCCTAAATCTGAAACCCTGAACCCTGAACCCTGAATCTGAAACGCTGAACCTTGAGCCCTAAACCTCAAACCCCAAACCTGAAGCTTCAATCTTTCGGCTCCAGGGTGCAGGATTCAAGGCTTCGAGTCTGGGCTTCCAGGTTCCGGCGTTAAGCCGCAAGCTTCAGCGAATATGAGGGCTTCATATTACGAAAGAGTTTTGGGGGTATAGTCATATTCAGGGGTAATTGCTCAGGCCTCTGTATTATGTTAAGCCCTGAACCCTGAACCTTCGCAGCCTTGCTGTCGGTGTGGTAGTTCTGGTATGTCATGCTCGTGTCATTCATGAAGACGAAAACCGCATCCTCTTCACCAGGGGGGGAGGCACGCCTGAATTCTAACATGTTCCTGGAGCTATGATTATGATGTATGGGAATTCAAGGCATTGGTTTCTCCGCCGACCCTATTGACAGAAATGGATTCCTGCAAGGTACTTGAGCCTTAAGCCGCTATCCAGCTCACAAACAACAGTTGGTGCGCAAGGTTTAGGATGTAGCATTTAGGGTAGAGTCCTCCCATGGTGAAGGACTTCACAGCGCAGGCGAACGGAAACTCTGAGCCAATAATGTACTAGCCCGAAGGTCAAGGTGTCACACTTCAATCACAGACCTGTCAGCTTGGTGAGAACAAAATCCGGAGGATTTGTGTGGCTTCTGCCCAGTTATACAGATCAGGACGGCGAGCTCTCCGCTGCAAGTCTTCTAGGAGCATGCTCTCTCAGACACCCTACACTTAAACCCAAACTCGCTATAGCTGAATCTAGAGCCCAACTGAATTGAAGCCGGAACCCCGCAAAAGCTTTGCTTGGAATCCTCTGCTCCAATCCCTGAGTTGGGTATTCAGGGCTGATAGGCCGTAGACCCTACATAAACCTTACCTTTGGTTAGTACGGAATGGAGGAATGGGGTACAATTATGACTACTATTACTACCCTTCTTCCATTCCCTTCTAACCAAAGGTAAGAAACCCGGCCAAGGGTGTAGGGGCAATTGCTTAGAGCCAGAGTGCAGCTTCAGGAAGCGGGGGGCCTGCAACCCTGAATCCCGACTCTCTGCACAATATCCCGTAGACCTAAAAGCTACACCCTGAAGCGGTTGGGATTGGGAGTGTAGGCGGTCTAGGATCAGGGTCTAGGGGCAAGCGTTTCGGAATTTAGGATTTTGAGTTTGAGGATGAAGGTGTCAGGCTTAGATGTCATCCCCTTCTCCCCAGCAATCAAGAAGTTCGAAGTCCAGACTTGCAGCAATAAAGGGCTACTGCGACCAGGACCCTGAAAAGCCAAACCGAAAACCCAAACACCTACACACCTAAACTCCAAGCCGAAACTTGAAGCACCAGACCTACGACCCCTAACCCACTCTCATCCTCATTAAGGCGTAAACCCTAAGCCCCGAACCATAAACCCGCAACCCACTGCAATCCTCAACGGTGATGGAGATGAGGATTATCCACGCCAGGGCCTCCCAGAGCACAACGCTCCGGAGCCTGTGGAGCACAAGGCTTTTGGGCTTTGGGTTTAGGGTTTTGAGAGCTTTAGGGTTTTAGGGTTTTTAGGGTTTGGCGTTTAGCGTTGAGGATTTAGGGCTTTTAAGCTTCAGGGCTTCGGGTTTAGGACTTAGGGTTTTTATTGCTTTAGGTTCAAGGGGTGTCAGCATTTACCGCTTTAGGACTCAGGGCTCTGGGGATTTTTGCTTCATTACTCAGGCTGCCCGAAGATCGTACTTGCTTTACTTGGTATGGTATTCTGAACCAAGTTCCTTAACGAGAACCCAGAATTGGGGCTTCAGGGTTCAGGTTTCTGTGGTACATCACTGTCGGGTTCCGCAAATCCTGACCATGGCAGGCATAGGCCTTGCATCGGGCCAAGGAACAACAAAGACATGTCCTGCTCTGTCGACCGGAAGTTTACGGGACTGTCGCACCACTCTTCCGGACCAAACCCGTCCAGCTCGACCCTGTAGCTGGAGCCGTCGAAGGCTATCTCGGGAAGAACTGACTGCCAGAACTCGTCGGCAGCGACAGGGTCATCTGAAAGCTCATGCATGCAGGGCGGAACCCGCAGCTTTCAGATCTACGTCGCCAACTCCGGAAGTATACGGGCCGGCTCCCAAATTCGCGAGATAGGTTGCTTTCCCCATCGTGGCATAGAGGCCCGCCGACTTCGCAGCTCTTTTGAAGTCGTGCCAGCAGGGGTGGCAACTTTCCGGCTCTGGTGCGCAACGCACCTGCACAGGGCCGGCCAAGAAATTCAGAGACCTCATCGGTACGAAGCCGGTGGCTGATCTTTTCAGACAACCTGCTAATGTGTACAGCAATCGCCCTTGTGTTACCGTGGGCTGCCAGATAGCTTGATCATGCCTGTTACCAACCCGTTGGCTGAAGCTTGCAGGAAACCAGAGTAAGCAGTAAGGGAACCAGTCGTGCTTCCATTTGTCCCTGATATGCCTTAACCTACCACAACCTCTTTCTTTTCTCCGGATTCTTTTTGTAAACGCAACGCCACTACGGTCTACAAGGATGGCTTGAAAGGGATCCTATAAACAAAGTAGGTTCTGGCAGGTTTGCTAGGGTGGTCAAGGTCCTATGAGCCTTGAACCCTAAGGCCCTAGACCCTACACTGACACCTTGAACGAGTTTACCCTGAACCCTAAACCCTAAACCCTGAACCCGAAATCCTACACCCGAAACCCGAAACCCTGAACCCGAAAGCCTGAAATCGAAACCCGAAGTCCTAAACCCGAGACCCTAAACCCGAAACCCTGAACCCGAAATCCACCCGAAGCCCTAAACCCTGAACCGAGCTTCTGGGGCTACTAGGGCTCTGGGCTCCGAGGGTCTAGGACTTAGCATGTAAGGATTCCAGGGTGAGGGTTGAGGCTTTAGGGTTGAGGGTTGAGGGCTAGGTTAGGGTTTAGGGTTGAGGGTTAGGTTAGGGTTGAGGGTTGAGGGTTGAGGGCTGAGGGCTGAGGGTCAGGTTAGGGTTTAGGGTTGAGGGTTGAGGGTTAGGCTAGGGGTTTGGGACTAAGTGTAGGGCCTTGTGGCTTTAGGGCTTCATTTCGGCTGTATAGGGACTGGGGTTTAGGGCTTTCGAGTTAGGTTGCTTGAGGGGAGGCTCAAGGTCTGGGCTTTCGGGGGTTTAAGGTGTTCGATTTGGGTGGTTGTCAAAATTAGGGTCACTTTTTGGGTACGCTAAATATTAGGTGCCGTATTATATCAAAGACCCAAAACGGGACCATCATTTTTGACAACCACCCGTTTAGCTTGTTTTAGGGGCTCTTCAAGGGCTTGGGGAAGAAGTGCTAGGCTTCGACAAGTCGGTTTCAGGCTTGGGCCTTGGCGTTCCAAGTAGGATGTATGCACCTATCCTCGCGTCGAAAGACCATCTTCAGGTATCCTGGACGTCTCAACCCTTAACCCGTAACCCTTGCACAACTGATACCGGCCATACCATAACTCAGGCTTTGGGAGAAGCCAGAAAGAAGATGCACCAGAATCTAGGAATCTCATGCCTAACACAGCCTCGTCCGAACCTTGACATCCCTTAGCCAGCCCCAAAAATATGCAGGGCCAGATAAAGCCTTCAAAGATCCATGTCAAGCCTACGGAGGACCTATAACACTCGAATTCCTAGACCCTAGCCCCTAAACCCTACACCTATAAACCCTAAACCTTGAACTGAAAAGTAGACCCTCATCCCTAAGCCCTACACCGTCAACTTATAAGTAGACCCTCATCCCTAAACCCTGAACCTAAAAACTTAACCTACAAGTAGACCCTCATCCCTTAACCCTAAACCTATAGAACCCCAAGCCCTCAAGCTATAAGTAGACCCTCATGCTTGAACCCATGCCCTGAACCCGGCGGCCTCTTTCCCAAGGTTTGCTCCTTCGGGAAGATTAGGCGCCACCGGCGTATCCTGGGCTCGTGTTAAGGGGAGTCATGGGTAGTTATAAGTAGGGTTATAAGTAGGGTAACTATAATTACAACTCCTATGAGGGGAATTATAGCACCACTTATAAGGGTTTTAACGCTTTCATAAGGAGCTTATTTGGTCTGGTTGTCATATGAAGGGTTCTACAATCCTATGAAACCTAAACCCTGAACCCTAAACCCCGAACCCTCAACCTTGAACCCTAAACCCTGAACCCTAAACCTTGAACCCTAAACCCTGAACCCCAAACCCTGAACGCTAAACCCTACGCCCTAAACCCTTATAAACTTATAAAGACTAAGGTTCCCTCTTAGCCTTTGGGGCTTCTTCCATGCTTGGGGCCTGTCGGAGCTCTCCGGTCTGAGGGTTTAGGGTTTAGGGTTTATATAGGGTTTAGGGTTTAAGGTTTAGGGTTAGGGTTAGGGTTTAGGGTTAGGGTTAGGGTTTAGGGTTTAGGGTTTAGAGTTTAGGGTGTCAGGGAAGGATTTTAAGCTTCTGAGTCAATGGTGTCGGCATTTTTCGTTATCTACCAAACTGATTGGACTTCTTCTTTAGACTGTTTCGATGCATCCAGGTCCCGAGGTGCAACTGTAGGGATTTCGGGATGACGAAATGCGAACATCAGGACCGACACCCTAAACCTTAAACCTCTCTAAATCAGGGTCCTTCCTCACACTGGTAGGTACTCTATAGGCTAGCCGAAATCAGACCCGTCCCTGTAGAACCCTAAACCCTAAACCCCTAAAGCCATAATCGACTCTCCCAGACTCTCGACCGAAGCATGGGCTTAGGGCCTGGGGTGAAGCTTAGTGGAGCTTCGTAAGTCTTAACACTATGAGCTCCTTTCGTTGGAGGGCTTTTACAATGAGGGCCGTTATTTTCTTTTTGAAAACCGAAATATGGAGCAAAGGGGCAGGTAGTGCCTGACCATGTAGCCGGTCGCAAGGAGCGAAGCGCCCGGAATGGTACACCACATCGCCATGAACGCATCTGATGCAACCTTTTGCCACTTGTCGTGGATGTCCGGAATGGGGAGGGGGACCACATCCACGCTTGCCTTTGCTTCCAAGCAAACCGTAAACCCACTCGTACACAAGCTTTGAAAGCCCTGAAAGCCACTGATTCAAATACTACCATTCCCTCATAATTCACTTGCTATAGAATAATTACCAACATCATTCCTTCGCGTTCCTTACTTTAAGTCTAAACCAAGATGCCCCAAAGCACAATTCCAGTCATTCGGGCCCCGGTACTATATGAAGCCGAAAGATGCCTTCAGAACCCGACTTTGTTTAATTATATACCCCCCGATTCCTGTTCTAATTCTTAAGAGCTTTACGCTGCCCAAACCCTACCAAAGACCCTTCAACTAAATGTAGCCGAAAGAGTGTCTGGTTCTTAGCAGGGGATTGGGGAATGGGTTATGGGGACTACTATTGGAGATTATATAGGGACTGCTATTGGGATTCCCGACTAAGAACCAGGCAGAAGACAATTAGAATAGGGTTTTGCGGCCCACTACAGTATATATAAAAGAAGGAACCCCCCAAACTAGTATTGGCAATTCTTTAGGCCCCTGTAGTATCCCCTAGGGTATGTAGCCGAAAGATGCCTATTTTGGGTACTACATTAGGGTCCCCCATTTTCGGAAACACCTATATGTAGCCGAAAGATGCCTTCAAAACCTTCCTCTTCGACTCGTCGTCGGAATCCTCGTTTCGCAGCGGTGCGAAAGGCTCCGACCCCTGGCACACCAGAGTCCCGGCCATAGCTGGCCGAAGTGCATTCAAAGCTTTAGGATTTAGAGTTTAGGATTTAGAGTTTAGGGTTCAGGGTTTAAGGTTCAGAGTTTAAGGTTTGAGGCTTAGGGTTTTTTTAGGCTTAGGGTTCAGGGCTTAGGGTTTAATTGGGGCTTGCAGCTTACATGCCTTTATAAGGATCTTACCGGCGCTTTCTGGAAGCTTTATAAGCGCGTTCAGTGTCAGCGGCCCAGGGGTTCGGTTTTGGGTGTAGGAGTTGTGGTGGAGTTGGCTTTGCTCATGTTCTACGTTTCTTTAAGGCGGTGCTACGCTTTTTTTTGTTCAGGAAAGGTTAGGGTCTAGGATCTACAGCTGCAGCCTGATTCGACACTTCGAGTTCAGGGGCTTAGGGTTACAAGGTGTAGTTACAAGCATTAGTTGAAGGTTTAGGCTGCGGTTTAGGCAATGAGTTGGGCTGGAGAAGAAAATATGGGCCGCAGTATGTAACATACTTGTAACCAGAGCTAGGCACTTCTAGCCAATTCCGGTGGGTGTCGATGGTGGACCCGATTGACTTCGAGATAAACCGCCTGTGCAGCACGTTGAAATCTCAATGCCGGCTTTGCGACAAAACGCTCTCGAGCGTAGCCAACAGCTGCAATGTGTACACATTAGGGATTCGGTTTTTCTACGGAGCCGGGAGAAGGGCGGAAGGGAGGTACACATGCTGTTCCTTCATGGTTTCAGGGGGCTACTGCTTGGAATGTAGGGGGTCGTGTTCAACTCAAGATGTCGATGTCGAATGTCGGAATGCTCGGCTCAACAAGAGACTTAGGGTTCCGGATGCTGACGGGCTCGACTTGGCTTTTGTGAAGTTTGGGGTCCAGAAGATCTTTGAGCTTGGGGACCTGCAACAGCTCGCGATTTCGTGACGAAGCGGCTGAAATGTGGTAGCGATGACTACAGCTATGGCAACTGGAGCTCGAGCATGCACCGTGAACCCAAAATCCCGAAGCATAGGCTCTAAGCCAGCTCCTTTAACCCAAACTCAAACTCATGAACTCGAGACTGCGAGCTCTAGGCCTTATAAACCGCCAGCCGCCCACCACCCAGGAAGGCCAGCACCCCGAGATTTAGGACGAAAGGTCGTTCTAAGTCAGGGGGGGTTGGGTCTCTCGCCCGAGACCCCGGAGACCACGCAAGTTTGGAGCTCACTGGATTGAGGGTTTAGGCCTCAAACCCCAAAGCCTAAACTGGGTTCATGTAGACGACGGGTTACTCAACCCCTTCTCCCTTAATGAGACTTTGATGGGTGTCATAATTTTTGGGCCCTTATAGAAAGGGTGTGTTTTGATCAGGGGTCTACATTTTGGCTGATCCTCCCTACTTGGAGGATCATGGGACTTACTGATTCAGTAAGGTTACAAGTACCGTAATTGGAGTCGTGAGTAAATATAGCCACAGTTGCCTTCTTTATGACCCTAGTCACTACCTCTCATGACCCTCCAAATACTTCGACCCCCAACCATCACTATGGATCAAGGACCATAAGGGCTCCATCAAGGGCACGGCTGGTCACCCCGTAGACCCTTCAGCTCTAAAACCCAAAACACAAAAAGCCTAGACCTTGACACTCTACGCACTAACTCCTTAAAACCTAAACCCGGAGTTGTAGGATTTCGAGCCCAGGCCTAAAGCGAGGAGTAGGGTTAGGCTTTCGGGTCTTGGGCCTACTTCAGGCGTCATGAACCTATAAAACTGATACCTAGATACATCCGATTGAACATCAAACCCTTAAAGCCTAACCTCAAACCCTAGACCCTAAACCCTAAATTTGCTAAACTTCTACATCCCAAACCCTGAACCCTAAATTTACTAAACTCCTAAACTTCACTAAACCCCTAAACTCCTAAACTCCTAAACCCGAACGAAAACAACGCCTCGGACATAGCTCGCAAGAAGTCGCCCCAGCACGGCGAGCTGCGGCAGGCAGCCGCCATGGGACGTTTTGGGTTTAGGGTGTTTGGTTTAGGGTTTGGGGTTTTGGGTCTTTAGGCCTTGCAAGTTTTAGAGTAGGGCTTTTGAGGTTTTAAGCTGTAGGCTTTAGGGTTTCAGGGCTTACAGTTCAGCGGTCAGGGTTCAGAGTTTAGGGTAAAGCGCTGCACCCAGACGCTGAAGAGGAACCCTCAAAGGCGGTCCCTTCTTAAGTCATACAACATTAAGAGACCACTTCTGGATTATTTACGGGGTTCCTTCAAAGTTTCCTCTTAGGACCATTACACCCAGTGCCCGCGGTTTGGGGTTGCTAAACTGGTTCCTTCAGAGGGTTCCGAGACCGGCAGCTGGAGTTGACGGTTTCAGATTCGGAGATATGGCTGCATCAGGGGTTTTACGAAATCATTCTTTGATGTCTTGAACATCGGGGACTCCGTCGATCCATGCGGTTCAAGGGGCAGACTTCTCCAAAGCCGCCCACTCGAATGGATCCATGTAGGTAGCCCCAAACCCACCCTGAACTCCAAACCCGAAAGCTTGAACCCCAACCCTAAACCCTAAACCCTGAATCCTCAACCCTAAAGCCGCACACTGCAAGGCCATGTGGATTCGGGCAAACCGGGGTCCCCATCTTGGCAGCAGAAGTGGTCTCATGTGTATGTGTTACATATATAGAGAGAGATACACATACACATGTATATAATATACACATATATATATATATATGCAGAGTATTTGTTTAACTCTACATAGTTCTTTGCTTATGTATGGTGAAGGCTCCAGGGCTTAGAGTCTAGGGCTTCGGCTTTAGGGTTCGGGCTTCCTCGGGTTTCTCCAACGGTCAGCTTCAGCCATTACCCCGCAAAAAAAACCTCCAAGTCCTTGAGGCTTTAGTTTAGGGTCAAAAACTGCGAATTTACACCCCAAACCAAAAACCCTAATAACTTCGAATCAAGCCCCAAACCAAAAAGCCTAATCCCTAAAGGTTTAAAAGGGTCGGAACCCTTATCCGGCTCATCAAGGAGTGCCTCTTCACTTTTGCGGGATGGACCGCTCTAAGCCACAGATGGAGCTCTAGGCCCCTTCTCTTGCGTTATCTGCGTAGAGGCCCCGAAGAGCATTTCAGGTTTAAGTTAAGGGCTTTGGGTTTAGGTTTTAGAAATCCCCTAGCAGAATTTAGGGTGTAGGTCGTCCAAAAAAGGAGTTAAAGGGATTTAGGTCTTCTAACATAGAGTTCACTGTTTCAAGGTTCAGTGTTCCTCATAGTTCAGAACTTATGTTCGGGGCCAAGACGTCGTCAGGATCCGACTCGGTAGGTTTAGTTATTGGGGGTCTGACAACTCAGAGATACTGAAATTCTATTTTCGGGTGTTAGCGCTTAGAGTCTTAGAGGCTTAGAGTGTATGGCTTAATTCAGGATATAGATTGACAAAGCTTGGTCTGGGGTTTCCTCTGGTTTGAGCTTCTGGGTCCCTACAATGGCCACGTCGTGTCATTGACGGGCGTTGTGAGTGGCCGGCAGGTAAACTGCACAGTGCCTCTCAATTCGGCCCCCATGTGGGGATCTCGGGCAAATGGAAAAACGTTCTGGACCTAGTTTCTGATAGTCGGTGAAGGTACCTTTCAGGGTCTAGGGCTTTGGGTTTGGGCTTAGGGTTTAGGGCTTAGCAGTGCCACAGAGGCAAATGCACCGATCGCGATTGCCGAAGCCAGACTCACTGCTTCTCCTCGTAGGTGCTTGCTCCTTGGAAGTTGGGGCGTAGCTACCCAGATAAAAATAGGAGGGTACTCAATGTTAACAAAAGCGATATCTCGTTCACTTGTTCCCTCATATGCACCATAGGGGCCTTAATAACTAGAATAGGGTTTTGGGGCTCATTCTACTATAGTTATAACAAGGAGCCCCCGAAATACTATAGGTAACTATATTGAGGCCCCCATATTGTGTTTGTGTGGACTTTGTCCGGAGGCCGCAGGATCGGATTCAACCACCGCAGTGTGCACCTGACTCTGCAAACGCCAAGCCCTAGGTTTTGGGTTTAGGGATCTAGGGTTTAGGGGTTTCGGGTTAGGGGTTAAAATTTTGTCATAATCATAATCATAACATAGCCCACCACCCTTCTGGAGGTGCCGGTAAGCCTGGCATATTGGAGACAGGCAAGGCGGGAAAAACACGCAATAGTCTTGGCCAAGATCACGATGAGATTGACCATCTTCACCACTAGTGACAATAAAGGCATCAGCAATGCTAACGATAGAGATACGGATAGGGCTTCAGCCGCTAGCCCTCAGGGTGGAATGACCATCTTGGCACGACCGGCCCCGCAGCTTTCGTTTCACACCAGACTTGTCCAAATCAGCCCAGACCAGAACCCTAAATTCAGGGTATAGAGGCGTAGGATTCCGGGCCCCCGCCAACACCCAAGACCCTGACAGACACCCGGCGCTGCAAGTTCGGAGTCACGACTCCAATCCCCAGTCTCCACTCCCGGGTACTGCATCCCGGACACAATCCCATGACCACAGACCCGAAATTCAACCAGTACGCCTCTTTCCCCAGTCCCTGAAATCCGGTGCCTTGCATCTTGACCCGGACACACTACACAAGCAAAGGTCCCACACCCGTTTAGGGGTTATAGGGCTTATAGAGCCATGGGTTTTCCCGTGAGTCCAAGGCCTGCGAGCCATCGTCACAGGAGGTCCTGGCAGGCTTCGACATTACTAAAGCGACGCTCGTCGTTTTGGCAGGCGTATCTAGGGTTTCAGACCCCTGACCTATTAGAGTGTGGGGCTTTAGGGTGGAGGGCTGGTTGTCTTCACGCGAGGCTGCAGTCAGGGTTGGCGGAGAAGGGAGCTCCGGTGTTGTCGATGTGGCGCTTCGGGATTTGGGATTCAACTCCCTCTTCGACCTTTGGCCATGTCCATAGATTTGCATTTCTGCAATATGTATGCACATATGATGTATGTATGTAATTATGTATGTATGTACGTCTGTATGCATGCATCTATGTATGTATGTGTGTATGTATGTAAGTACGTTTGTTAGGTGCATATGTGCGTACGTAGGTGTGTATGTATGTATGTATGTATTTATACATACCAATCCGCATGTGTGTGTGTACATATTTATAGGCACGCACGTCTGTATCCATTTATGAGCCTCGAACAAGAATTGCGTCGCACGAGAAAAAACTGGGCTTACGGCTTGGAGCTTCGGAATTGGGCTTTGGAGTTTATGATTGAAGGATTGAAGGTTAGCCAGTTCCCAACCACACCACCAAAGATACGGAGAGCACGTAAAGTAGGTCTGCGCAGGCCTTGCCCTGCAAGCGCCGATGACTTCATCCACAAACAGGGTTTGGGGCTTAAGGTGTGTTGGGTTTCGGCGTCCAAGCATGGTGGAAGCCAAAACATAGCTTAAAAACCGAAACCCTCAACCGGAACACAGCAAACCCCGAAATACCAAACCCGGAACCAACACACCACAGATCTCACAACAGAAAGAAGAAAACAGTTAGATGTGGTACGGGCAACCCAAAACGGGGCCTTCAAAGTCTCCAAGCCCTGAACCCGAAACACTAAACATTCAACGCCAAAAACCCCTAACCCCAAAGCCACAAACCATTGGAAAGCCTCAACAGAACCCTCATGCAAACAGTATTCGACCCCCAAAACCTCCCATATAGAAGCCGTGATAAACCCCCTGCATAGCAACAGAGTCCCAAGCCCCAAACCCTACCCCAAACCCTTCGCCCTACACCCTACTCGCGAAACCCTGAATCCTAAACCCCAAACCGTAAACCCTAAACCTCAAAACAGTCTAGATTGGCCTCGTCCGTACTCGCCATGTCGAAGGTTTGTGGCCCCCCGCCGGCGGTTGGAGGCCCCTCGCGGGGTTTAGGGTTAAGGGTTTATAGGGTTTACGATCCAGGGATTTACGGTTAGAGTTTAGGGCTTAGTGTCAGGGGTGTAAAGATTGAAGGTTACGGTTTTACGTTTTGGGTTGAGGAGCTGTGGTTCAAGAATTTGGTTTTGGGGTTATGGTTTAGGATTTGCGGATGAGGGTCTAGGAATTTGGGGTCAAAGGTTGACGGTACTTCAATCGCTCGACGCTTACCTGTGCCCACGACGACCAACTTTCCTGCAGAAATGAGCAAGGAACCCATTCTCTGAATCAGTATTGTAGGGTTGTCGTGTTCAACTTGATAATCAGGAATCAGAACCAGAAGCCCAAACATGGGGGGAGCTCAGGTACGCATTAAGCGTCAACCACAAGGGTATGGCATCGAGACTGCTTCAAGGTTCGGGCCGAATTCTTTAAGGTACACTTGACGATGTTCATGGAACCCTAAACCCTAAACCCCAAGCCCTGAGTGTTCAGCTACATGGTAGCACGGGTTTAGCCGCCGAGTCAAGAGCAAATGTAAGAACCGCAACTAACTCAGTAGTAATGGCAATAGTATTCCTGATCATATTGATAGTACAGTAGAAGCCAGACAGTTGGAACATGGGTTTAGGAGGATTAGTGCTAGGATCCCTTGTCCTTTACCTTAAGGACATGAGGATAATGATATTCCAACTTTCTGGCTTCTACCATAGAGTTAGCAGAGCAATCATAATGACAACAGTCCAGTAACAGTAGCGACTGCACCCCGAACCCTCGAATCCCAAACCCAAAGCTGAGGGCCCCTGCTGCCAAACGCGGCACCGGCTGATCCCGGGCCGCGCGCGAAGCGGCACCTGCGTAGATCTCAGGGCTTTTCGATGTTTCTCTTTGATTCGGATGGCTATGGGATTTGAAGCTTTCGTAGACGGGTTTGGTAGGTTTCAAAGAACTCTATAAGGGGCTGAAACTCTCCGGGTAAGTTGTTCAAGGCTCTCGGGTGTGGTATTTCCTTCCACACCTTCCGAAGCCTCAGGCCCAGCACCCAACACCCAACACACACAACACCTTAACCCCAAGGCCCAAAACCCCAAAACTTCAATCCCCAAACTTCTAAAAGTGAAACCTCGTGACACAAGTCCTCAGCCTTGCGCCCTAAACCGAAGCCCTGAACCCGGAACTCTCAAAGTGTTAACTAACGAGCACGACAAACCAAAGAAATCGTCATTTTCGGTACTACACCCTTCGATAACGCCCCTACATCAAACCCTGTATCCAACATCAACAAACACTTATACAAACTCCATATTACGCCCAAGACAAAGGTCTGGAAACTCTTTACAGAAACTCTACGAGTCAACGGCACCCTACTCCAACTCTGCGCACCCCACTATTCTCGACCTAAGTTCTACTGGGCCGGGCACACGCCCCAAACCCTAATTCCTAATCTTGTCTCGCCTAAAAACTCTAAATTCCTAAAACACCCTAAACCACAAACTCTTCCTAAAACGCCCCAAACCCTCATTCCTACTCTTGTCTCAAGGCGGGCCACCCGTCACGATCTTCGGCTCCTCTCTCTCCACGGGGTCTCCCAACTTCTTGTCGAGCGCCCTGGCCGTGGGAACGGGGATTTTGGGGTTTACCGTGGGGGTTAAGGGTGTAGGGGTTGTAGGGGTTGTAGGGGTTGTAGGGGTTGTAGGGGTTGTAGGGGTTGTAGGGGTTGTAGGGGTTGTAGGGGTTGTAGGGGTTGTAGGGGTTGTAGGGGTTGTAGGGGTTGTAGGGGTTGTAGGGGTTGTAGGGGTTGTAGGGGTTGTAGGGGTTGTAGGGGTTTAGGGGTTGTAGGGGTTTAGGGGTTTAGGGGTTTAGGGGTTTAGGGGTTTAGGGGTTTAGGGGTTTGGGGTTTAGGGTTAGTTTGGGGTTTACGGTTTTAGGGTGCAGGGATGTGAGTTTAGGGCTTGGGGCTCAGGATTCCGGGTAGGGTTTAGGATTTCGGGCTTCGGGGTAGATTCAGATGGTAACCTGGATAAAGCTATGGCTCGGAATGCACGTGAAGCCTGGTAGATGGATTGACATGTGAATTCTCAGAAATCCGCTGCATATGATTCTTGCAATTACATTCGGTCGAAAGAACATCCTGGGCCGTGGTACTAACAACACAATCAGGAAATCACCGTCAGAATAACAGTGGTGGTCAGTAACAACCGACTCAGAAATATGAACCCTCAACCCAGCAAAGCCCTAAACCCCATAACTTAAGCCTGAACCCAAAAGTCCCCAAACCCATAGTACAGTAGCCTAAAGAAGGAAGGAAAGTAGCAGGTTGAGGTTTATCTGTGCTCTGAAACCGCTGCAAAGGCTAAACCCTAAACCCCACACCCTAAACCCTAATGAAGCCCTGAACAACAACTCCACTACAGAGCATGCGGGGGACCACAAGTCAACAGCCAGCAAAGTTTAGAGCCTGCAATGCCATGATAATAGCAGCTTTTTTATCAATTCACTTACTTCTTGGTCCCCGGCAGCAGTTTATTGCTTGAAAACTGCGCATGCCGCAGCCTCGGTTCCAGAAGCACTGCAGTAATCTGAAACTCAAGACAACATCCTCGCACCCCGTAGCCGCTAAGCCCTCAACTGTTCATCCCTAAACCAGGAGCCTGAAACCCAAACCTTAAACACGAGAACCTCAACACCTCATACACCTTAAGCCAACAACAAGCTGGCTGACCCGTAGTAGGAGGGTGGCGGGTGATCGTCGTCGTCAGCCTCTGCAGGGCTGTTCTGATTACTCTACGAGTTTAGTTAGGGTTTTGGGGTTGAGGGTTTAGGGTTTGAGGCTCGAGCCTGATTTATCCCTAAGGTGCGGCGTTTAAGGCAGCTTAGAATAACTTAAGGCTTCAAGGTTTGGGGGTTTAGGCTTCGGGTTTAGGGTGTAGGGGGTTCGGGGTTTGGGGCGAAGGCTTGAGGTGTGGGAGTCAAGGGGCGCTAAAACCCCAACCTAAAGCCGCAAAAGCTAAACCCTCCCCTACATCCGAAACTCTAGACCCGAAACAGTGTTAGTATTCTTGCAGAACCCAACCAAGGAACCCCCAAAGCCACGACGCCGATGCCGTTTAGAGGTTTAGGGTTAAAGGGATCTGAGCTCTCAGACTAAGCTTCACCGGCTTCTCATTAAACCCTAAACCCATCCCATACCAGAAGCGCGAATGTATTACAGTGGCCTTGATGACTAGACTAGGGTTTGGGCGCCCCTTGTACTAAAGGCCCCTATATTACCAAGTAGGTCCAGCACTCAACTAGCCCTCTGAGCCCTAAATCCTAAAACCCAAATCCTAAACCCTAAACCCCCAGAACCACCACTAAACCCTTAAACCCCTAAAACCGTAATCCCAAACCCCTAAGCCCTAAAGCCTCGTCCAAAAAGTCGTTGAGCGACTCGCGGCCGACGCCGTCGAAGTCCCACTCGTCCTCCTGCACTCAGGAAGTGAGGCGCTCGATGTAGGGTTTAGGTTTACGATTTGGTGTTTTTGATAGGGGTTTCGGGGTTAGCTGGGACCAGTTTAGGATTCAGGGTGCTCCGGGTTTCAGATTTGGGACCTGGGGCCTACCTTTGAGGCTGGGACCCTTGAGCCCGTCCTCTTTGCCTCCACCAAACATGCCACGTCCTTGTATGCTTCGTGACTTTCGGAACCCCGCACCTGAGACCCTGAACTTAAGCCCCTAAACCTAGGGTGCCGGGAGACTTGCTCAGCATCAAAACACAGCTCTCGATCTCTCTCTCTCTCTCTCTCTCTCTCTCTCTCTTTCCCCCTCTCTTTCCTCATTCTCTCTCTCTCTCTCTCTCTCTCGCTCTCGCTCTCGCTCTCTCCCTAACTTCGAACACGATGCACAGTTCGTCGAAAACATAAAACCCTCCATCCACTAAGAAAACGTTCCGAATCATCTGCAAACACCTGCGGGACCCCGGACCCCTTCGAAGAAACTCTAAACGAGTGGTAACTTTTCAAAAAACCCGAAACCGCCCATTTCAAGAACCCACCCCCGCCATGTCCTTCAGTTTCTCGTAGTCCCGGGGAGTCCGCGACATTAGTCTGCCGATGCACCTCGGCTCACACCCTTGCGTAAAAGATCTCCCATGGCTTTGCAAAAGAGTTTTTCGGATTCGTTTAGGGTTTGATTTGGGGGCTTATTAAGCTCTGAACTGCGATTGCTATTCTTGGTGCAGGATTTGGCATAGTTGTATGCGGTTCTTTGTGCAATAGGCAAAAGGCTCTCACTGAGGCTTGATTGCTCTATGTAGGACTATCTTGATTCTGGCCCGATATACGAACTGTTTACGAAGTCCCTTCTTACTGGAACCCTTCAAGGAGCACTTGAAGGAACCCTTGTAAGGAAACTCTTAACAGGAACCCTTGCAAAGGAACCTTTCAAAAGGAACCCTCAGTGGAGCTCTTAAAGGAACCCCTGTAGGGCATCCCCCAAAAGGACTAGGTCATCATTGGGATAGGATTAAAATTCTATATACATTTTTATTCCTTATTGGGTTTAAGTACCCACAAAGATGTAAAATGTTACCCAACTATTCCCAAAAAGGAACCCTTTAAAGGAACCCCCCAAAAAAGGAACCAGACTCTAAACCCTAAACTAAACCCTATAGATCCCTTTAAGGGACCCTAACCCTATAGATCCCTTTAAGGGGCCCTTTAAGAACCTTACAGTCCTAGCCTTCTGAGCCTAGGACGCGCAGAGGCCGGCTGCTGCGAGAAGCAGCTGCGAGCCGAGCCAGGCGAAGGAAAACCTCCAGGGTTGAGGGCTCTTCGGTTTAGGGTTTAGGGTTCAGGGTTCAGGGTTTAGGGTTGAGGCTCTTGGGGCTTAGTAAGTAGGGTTATAAGTAAGGTAACTATAGTAGATAGGGTTTGATGGCATTTGCATTTTGAGTTCCTGGAGCCTCAAGGCTTCCTTGAAGGCTGAAAGATGGGTGCATGCAGCTTTTTAGAGAAGGGTCTTAATTATTGGACTGAGGCTTTAATGGCGTTTTAACGGATTTTTCTAAGTGGCTTGTAGGGTTTTCCAGCGCCTGAACAGGGGTTTGGGTGTATATCACAGTTTTGTATGTAGTTTTCTGAGATCCCCATGTAACTGCCCCAGTAAGTGGAGCAGGGTTTGGGGTTTGTTGTAGATATTTGGGGGTTGAAGGCAGGGCTTCTGGGCTGCAGGACTTCGAGGGGTTTTAGCACTCTAGGGTCGTGGGGTTTAGGTTTAGGTTTAGATGGGTTTAGGGTGCAAAAGTCCAGGCACTCATGGCCAGCGCGTAGGGCCAAACGAATTACACATGCAGCCACGCTGAATAGGACATAGGAAGGCTTATGCCGTAGATTCGCTGTCCTTTACATCATGTCTTACCTTCATACGCCATCTACTACGCACTCCTAAAGTCTGAACCCCCAAGAAACTAAACCCCAAACCCTGAAGAATGAACTCTGGACTTGAGCATCCTAGCCTCTTTGCCCAGACTACCCAGGAAATGAACCTCATCATAAGGAGCTTAAAACTTTAGGAGGGTTATCTTGAGGGCTCATACAGTTTAGGGTTTTGCAACCATGATAAAACACAAAGGCCTAAACAAACCCTGAACCCCTCATGCAACCAGCAACGTTTGTTCCTTGACGTGTTCTTCATATATCCTAGCAATGCTACTTGTAGTACTGTTATCGTGTTCGAAGTGCCAGAAACAGGATACCGAGTGTAAATAGACCAAAGACAGGTCTGTGTTTGAAAGATGTTTCAAGAAAGACCTGCCTCGGCGACCCGGAACCACAGACCCAAACCCAAATCTGAAGGCTTTAACCCGCAAGCCCAAAGCCGCAACGCGCACTTAAACCCTAAACGCTTATTCAGCCAAAACAGGCCGTAGAACGAATTATTTTGGGAAACCTTAATCCTCAATTCAAAGCACTACCTTCGACGTCCCCGCCTGAAGCCTGCACGGTACTCACCAAAGCCCGCCTTGCCACCTGCTGCAAGTTTAGGGCTTGAGGTTTGTATTGGGTTTATCGCAGGTTTCGATGAGGGCTTGCAAGCTTCGTGAGGTTTTGGGGTGTAAGGGGTCAGGATTGTCGGGCTTGCAGCCTTGAGGTTTTGGAAAATCCGGGCTTTCGACCGTGGTGGCTTGAATGCTTCTGGACTTTAGGATATGTGGGGGCTTCTGGGTTTAGTGTGTTCGGGCTTTTCAGCGTTTAAGGGTCCGCATAACTAAGATCCTCAAAACTAAAACGGCCCGGAAACACGAAAGCCGAATGTAGAGTATAGAGGTCTTAAGAACCAGGATACAGTTTAGGGTATGTTCAGTACAGCCATATGCGAGCTGTTCCAGGATGGGGCCTAAACCCTATAACCGCACCTCTGAACCCTAAAACCAGCATCCCATCGGACCCTGAACGCTGCGCCACAAAACGAGGCGGGACCAGAGCACCTCCCGAGCCGAAACTCCTCTGTCCGACGTGGCAGGCCCCGAAGACGAAGAGCAAAAGCAGCGCCCACCTGAGCGAAAGAGAAGTTCTCCAAGGTTTCGGTGGGTTTAGGACTAAAAGAAGGCTTCTAGGGTCTTAGGAAGGCTAAGCAGTTTGCGAGTTTGGGGTTTCATGTAGCGAGAGTTCATTCAGCAGGATGGCTGCAGAATGCTGGTTCAGTGCTCTTAAGTGATTAGTCAATTGCATGATTCTCGCCCTTGTAGGTGCTCGATTTTGTCCCTCAGAGCTTTAAAAGAGGAGTGGAGGGTGCCCTGCAGGTTTAGAGGCCCTGGGACCTCGGTGTTGAGGTTTCAGGTCCTAGGATCACGATTTGTGAAATCTTCTCTGAGTCTAGGATTCAAGCGTTTTGGATGTGTGAGTGCTGCATTCAACCCTGTTCAGAGATGTTCCACCGCGCTGGCTTTTGAGACCAAGGCATCATGCTTCACGAAGTGCCGGATGCCTCATGTTCAAAAACTTGGAGCTCTCAACATGGTAGCTGGCCAAAGCTCGAATCAAGTTTTACGGCTCAGTGCTAAAGGTGAGCGGCGAGAACCCTACAAAGGTTCTGGTGAGGGTGAGTATGAGACCACGCCAGCTGTGCACTGGCCAACTAGGCAGATGGAGCTGCAAGTAGCGTTTTCACGCCGCTGGAACTATATCATCGCTGTCAACAGCTTCCCAGCAAATTCTGCTGAGCAAAACGTCATCATGTTTCCGAGGTCCGAAGCCCAGCTCTTCAAGACGTTTCTGGATTAGGGGTTTCAGTAGTCGCATAACAGGAACATAGTACGTTCTCTGGAACATCTCGTACGTGTACTGGAGAGATTCAGGACGAAACTGCCAAAACAGCTTCTTCCAACTCACGACAATCTCTGTAGCCCCGAAAGCTGCCGCCTCTGCGCACCTCTCCTGGACATGTACCATTATGGGATCCACTTGCTTTTTCCACTGTGCCCTTGCAGCCGAGGTTGCTCTCTGGAGCGATGCCCGAAAATTCTCACCAGAAGCGGTAACGGCTGACATGGTTTCCGTGATGGAGGCAACGTCGGAAGGGAGGTCGGAGATGGTCCAAAGGTCCCCCGACCGCGGGGCCTGCCCACAGTGTGCACATTTAGACTGCGAGCAAAGGCGGCAGAGAGCACAGGGCCCTCCGTGCCCACAGGAAGAGCAACGCCAGCGGACTTCGGCGTCCCTGTCACACCTATAGCACTGTTCGTAGCCCACTGCTGACGATGCTTCAGACATGGAAGCTGGGTCTTGAGCCACGTGCTGCAATGCAACTTAGTTTGCGAGAGAAGAGATCACCGGCCGAGATCGTCGGAAGGTCGGAAGGTAATCTTGCATGGCTGTTTCGACTCTTATAACATATGGACTCGGCATCCTGCTTGTTCGCAAGACTCGATGGCCAGCGCAATGCGGCACCACACCGGAGAGTTCTATGCGCCGGGCTTCAGGAGGTTGCGCCAACCGACGCCGGAGGGGCAGGGCACCTGCTGCAGCTGCTCAGGATTTTAGCATTTCCGGCTTAGGGACTTCTATGCGGAGGATTCTGGGATTAGGTCCACGGTTGGGGGTTGCAAGGCTTCCGTAGTGATGATGCGCATTCACGACGCCTTGAACCTGAAGCACAACCACAAGAAAGCCTTACCTTAGGCCTGAGAAGCATCGCCTCGACGACTTCATCCCGAACCCCAAAGCAATGTAGGCGCCTTCAGAATTATAATGGGGCTTGGGGCTCCGTCATAATATATTTTATAATTTGCTTGTATGGAACCTGAACAGAATCATGTTGGCAAATATCCCGAACCCCGGAAGTAGACCTTTGATCCCAGACTGACGGACCTGGCCTCTATGGTCGGAGGCGACCAGCCACCCTGGCACTTGTTCCCTGGCACCTTCGCAAGTGGTTGGAAGCTCATGGGGTCTTTGTAAACCTATAATTACACTAACTAACCGCTTACTATCCAGTATACCCTATTATACTGCATACATGGCCCTATGCGTTGCTAGTACCACACCCTGGACTCTTTACCCTAAAACCCAATCCTAACCCCTGAATCCTACTACCCATACTTACAATCTATGTAAAACGAACGTGTAAAGCTTCCCGGGCATGTTCGCAAGCCACTCGGAGGCACATGCTGTCTAGGCTTCTATACGGCTTGGGGCAAGAAACCTAATTTTGGGTTCAGGGTCTGGGGTCAGTGGCCGAGGGGTAGGGATCTGGGATTAGGGGTTTCTTCTGCGAGGGAGTTCCGAGTTGCAGATTTCCGTTTTTTGTTTTTTAAGTGCAGTGGCCTCTTTCTGTGCTGTGCGAGCGAGCGAAAAGGCCTGCCACTAACGTGGGGCTTACACTGTTGGGCCAGGCACACAAGTGAACAGTTTACAGTTCACTCTTGCCCTCATGCCAGTTGACTAAGAGTCATAGAGGGGTAGGGTTTTGTGGGAGGAGGGTTCAGAGAGTGGGCTCGAGGCTTGAAGTTGTCGTCCTTCTTGAACTTCAGGGCGAAATCATTTACGGTCTCCTTTTCTGACTTCTCCATGATGGCGTGGAGCTCATCCGTGGAAAGGGATGATGGGTAGCCACTGGATGATGTGCCCTTCTTAGTCTCGTCCGCCATGAGGTTTGGGTGTTTGGTGGTTGGAAGCCGAAAGCTGCTTTCGCGGTAGTTCGGTTTTAAGATGCCCAAATATGACCCTTCGGCATTGTACTTCCCATGATGGGGGCTTGGGTTGTTGGGCTCGATTTGACTAGCGATCAATGAGACCATCGAGTGCCCGGCACGAGAAACTCCAAACCGTTCGGGTTTGAATTGCAACTGTGCCTCTCAATACCTTTCTGAGGAGCTGCTCCGGTAAAACGGCCTGCCTGCTGTATAGATCTCAAATGAAAGCCGACCCATCACCAAACAGAGTTGGACAACTCATAGCTCTCATCCCACCCGGCTGAGTCCTTCTTTGGGTTCAAGACTTGGGATTCCTCGACCTTCAGTGCCCCCAATCGCTGCCGGCTCTCAATCTGCAAGCTTCATCCACATTGAAATCTCGAATTTAGATCCTTTAGCCGCAAACGCCGAAACTTAAACTTGCATCGTAGCACCTCTATCCTACAGCTCAAAGCACGAAGACTAATGCCCTACATTAACAACCCCCTCGATTTGCCAGGCCTTGCGGTACGCTGGTGCACCATACCTTGCAGCGATCTCAGAACACACAAGCAAGAGGCGGTTATTAGAGAGGTTGTGATATTTGTAAACTCCTACTGTCTCTAGTAGCACCTCCCGAGAATCAAAACCAAGGCGATCCCTGCTTTCGCGGCATACACAGCCATTCAATGTTCAAGGATGCTTTCACATGCAGACGAGCCACGTGCCCTGGCACACCGTGGGGGCGAACCTGCCAGTGAGAAGAACACAAAGATGCTTCTAGCCAGCAAAGTCTAATCCTTTAAGATGCTACGAGCCAAAGTCCTCTCGAAGCAATCTATTCCAGACCCGACACCTTCTAAAGATCCATGTCTGAGGTATGGAAATACGACGGACCCTACACAAGCTTTCGGGACAGCCAGCCGCACCAGGCTTGACAGTAGTTGTGGCTTGTCTGGGTTTGCAGTGTTGGGCTGTGAGGTGTAGAGATGCTGAAAGCGTCGAGCTTTGCATGTCTGTACTGTCCACCTATATGCATGCTTTTAGCAGGGCTTCGAGAGACATGCAAAGCACAGCATTGCGCGGCACCTTTTCTCTCCAGCTCAGGTCACACCTGGTTCAGCTGTATCTACGTCGGGACTCAGTATGTTCTCTTGCATAGACGACTTTCAGGTGTGGCTACAAGAAACCGGACCCCATCTCCAATGCGAGCTTATGTGGCCACATCGTTCCCCCCAACCCTTAACCCTAAATCTCTTGACTTGCAAACCCACAAACCCCGAAACCACATATACGTCAGCTTCCTTTACACCAACAGTCAATCTCTGAACCCTAAACTCCCCAACACTCGTAAATCATAAAACCCTGAACCCTAAACCATACACCCTAAAGCAAATTTCCCAAGTCCTGACAGAAGCGTTGCGGCTCGCTCTCAGCTTCATTGACTCGGCCGCCGCCCCGAAGGCGGCTTCGCAGGCCCTTTGTCCTGGCTTGTGGGCCACAGTCATTGGTTTAGATTTTTGGGCTTCGGGTTTAGGGGCTTAGGGGTTTAGGGTTTATAGTTCAGGGGTTTAGGGGTTTTGGATTTCTCGGGTTGGAGCTTGCAGAAGCCCCCCGGACAATGATCTGAAGCTGCTCCCCTGGACTCTCGAGTTTGAAGAACCCTTGCTTCTAAAGTCGTCAATAGTTAAGCCTGTATTTACCATTCACGTATGAAGGAGAATCATAATTCAAAACCTCGAAAAGGGGAGTGTGTTTTGCGAAAACTACTTTGGGGCCCATGTTGAAATATGCCGGGCCCCAAGTCACTCGGCTTTGCTTTTGAAACCCGTCGGAATGCTTTGGGGCTCAGGTGTGGTGTATGGGGCTGGGGTCTAGAGTCTCGGGCTCTGCTGAACCCCTAACTGTTCCTAACTGCGAAGTCACAAGTCCAACGCCCAAAGCCCAAGAGATCATTGCCCTAGTGCGCCTGCACCTGAAACCGTGAACCCTGAAAATGCATACCGCGCCGTGGTCCAGGCTATAAATCCTAAACCCTAAAACCCTAAATCCTGTAATCCCTGACACCCTAAAGTACCCTCTTTCGATCCTGAGCTCAAGATCGCGAGACCTCAACCCTAAACGCGCTCTACACCCTCAAAGCAACAAAAAGCGCACTACCCAAACCCTAAACCCTTTGAGCACCCCCTTGCAGACCCGTATAATTAGACCCTTACAAACCCACACCCATAGAGACCCTTGTAGACGCTTCTAGATCCTCGACCCTAGTCCTGCCATAGCGAACTCTTTGTGTGGTCGTCGCGGTTAGCGCCGCGTCTCCTCGTGCGCGAATCTGCGGCCTCGAAAACTCTTCCGCGAGCGTTCAGCTTCGTAGGTTTATGGCCAAGTTCACGAGCAGGATTTAGGGCTTCTGAACTCCAAGTGATTTCGCGTCCAGCCCACAGGTGACTCTCTCCACATCTAGAGCAACGTGTGATTTACGGCTTGTAGGATGTTGTTCTCTATAAGACCTGGCTCGCATGTAAGGGCCCCGGACACAACTTTGGGTCCGATAAGGCTTTGAGCTACAGTCTTGTCTAGTTGCTAGATATAAGGAATGCTATTCAAGATTCTTTTGGCTTCTTTTGGCCCCTGTATTGGACTTGTGGAAGCCGTGCCCACCTCCGTGGAAACGCCGGTGCCTTCTGCGGCTGCTGTCGTGGGCCGCCGAAGCGAAGAGTGGTTGTCCTGGCATGGCGCACGTAGCGGCGGAGTTAGGGACCACGGTTTCGGAGATTAAAGCTCCCCCTGCAGTCAACCCTACTAATCCCAGAACCCCTGAACCCTAATCACTAACCCAAAACCCTCATCCCTGGAGGGCAAGAAACGAAACCCTCATCCCTGGGCAAAAGTCATAAGGCACCCTAATCATTAAAACATAAACCATAAACACCAAACCCTTCTAAATCAACCCGAATCGCCGAGACCTAAACACAGTTCCAGTAGGAAGGAAAAAGAAGGATCCTTTCCGGGGTTACCAAGCCTCAAGAGCCACAAAAAGTCTCCGAAGCAGCCGCTGTCCTTTGCATGCGTGGTAAGGCCCGCGGACCCCCGACCTGAGGGCCATGAGTTTGAAAAAAAAAAAGGCTCTATCCCGTGTGGAGGGGGGAAGGGTCTAGCCGAGTTTACAAAGCATTGGGTTTAGGATTTGAGGGGATTAGGGTGTTGATTTCAGCGAAGTTGGGTCTAGGTTTATGGGGTTAGCGTTGGCAGAAGATGCCTCTGGCAAGGGACCTGCAGGAGGTCGCAGTCTAAGGCTTCAAGGATAACAACTGAGTGTAGGTTGCAGGGTTGACGGCCACATAGGCCGTAGATAGGGCATAGGGTTTAAGGCTTAAGATTGAAGGGCTCGCAGCTTCGGGTTCAAGCATAAGGCTTTTGGAAAGGCTTGCGCTTGTTTCGAGTTCCCGGAAACCTGAACCACCAATCTCAATCCCCTGTGCAAATACAAGAAACACTGTGGAACCACACCACCGGGAAACCCAAACGCTATAACCCCGTTACAAGCCTGTTAAACTCATGGTGCAGACCCTTGACAGCAAGCCCACTGCTCTCAATAAGGATTTTCGGACTTTGATAGGCATCCGAATCGTCGTGAGCAAGCTCCTGACGGGAGTATACAGAAAGAGCAGTAGTAGGAATACACAGGAATACACATCCACATGAAAAGTCCACAGCCCTAAATATAGAAAGCATCTGAACAGAGCATTGCAGCCCAGTCACCCTCCAGGGATCCATCCATGCCTGTCATCCAGGCTAGTTGCGGGTTTAGGGACCAGGATTGCTGTTTGAGGGTTTCGGGTGTAAGCTTTCTCAAGACTACTGTCTCAAGGTTGCAGGTACAGGGTTTGGGGAAGGTCTCGAGGAATTGACTGGGATTCGGGTGCATGCAGTGCTGCACACTGAAGTATGCACCAAGACGCTGATGCTGGTGGCCATGAGCCATGATGATCGTGACGACCACAATGACGATAACGATGCCAACAGGCGATGCTCAAAGCGATGATCATGATCATGATACTACATGTGCTGATTGAAACTATGAAGAGATGCTGATTGCCCTGACTGTGCTGGTGCTGTCTGTGCGATGGAGACACACCGCGCCGTGCAGTAGATCCAAGACCCCCATCCCTGGCCCCTGACATCCACACCCCAAAAGTTCTGCTCCATCTGCAAGACCGCCGAATTCATCGCCTCTCCCAGGGCCTTCAAGTTTCAACCCGACTCAGCTTCACCCTGAAAACCCCCAAACCTGAAAGACGCAAAGCACCCTAAAACCGTAACCCTACCATAAGGGTTTAGGGTTTAAGGCTCCATCGTAGTTCCTGTTTGTGGTTCATATTTAGGATCCTTTTTAGGTACACACTTCCCAATTCCGCAAACAGAACCTCAACCGTTCCCAGCCTCGGGGCCTGTGACCGCGCTTGTGCTGCAGAGGCTCCTGGTGAGGGTGCTTGAAGGATTGGTGGACATAGTAGAGGTTAGGGGCTTAGGGCTGCGAGTGTAGTGCTTATGGCCTGGGGTTCAGAGATAATGTGCAATGAAGCGGTAATGGTCTCGATGCATCATTGGTCGCCAAGCCTGAAGCACGCGCCATGTGCTCTCAATTGGCGCGCCAAAAGAGGTTTGATCGGCAGCATGCGACCACAACCTAACACCCTGAAACCCAAGAGAACCCTGAAAGCAAGCAATCACTTTCGAATTTCCTGGTCGTGATGCAGGGCGAAAGGCGGCAAGCCTTCCAAGGCACCTTTCGCAAGGATCTCGGGTTTAGGGTTTCGGCTTTTCTAAGTAGGGTCAAACCTAGCTGAAGGCTGTGAAACGTCAGGGTACACTGTCCCCCTGATCTTAAACCCAAACGGGCACCAAAGCCACCACAAGCAACATCAAAGACAGGGTGGCAGCGTCTGGTTGGGAGGTTGGCATTCAGGGCGTAGGACTTTAATTTGGGGTTACCAGGCTTAGGTGCATGGCTCGGATTTGTCAATGACGCCTAATCCGTAAACCCTGAACCCCTAAACCGTACCCCAAAGTGCCTCTGGGCACAGACTCGGCCGGCTGATAGCGGTCCTGTGCAGCAGGGGTGCGGTTGGTGTTTAGAGAAACAGTGTTCTGGACGTAGACGTAGAAGTTTAGGATCCGGGATCGAAGTTTGGGATTCGGGCTGTCGTTTGTAGGGGCTTAGAGTTCAAGTTTCGAGCCTGTGGGCTTAGGAAATCAGGCTCGTAGTTTTTCTTGGCTACGAAAGCGAGATCTCGCTAGGCGCGACTTCACCATCCAAACTCTCCAACACGTCACCATCCTTGTCGACCTCGGTATCACCCTCATCGTTCTCTTTCTCCGTTGCCCGAACGATTTCATTGCTTCCACCCTACCCAGGCTTCCGGGTTTGGGCCTGGGGTGTGGCAGTTCAGCGGGCATCCAGAGCCTAAACCGGACAAATTTCCTGAAGCATGAATTGCAAAGTTTGTGCACGCAAATGTTCCAGGCTCTGTCCCAGATCGAACACAACCTACGCCCTAAACTGAGCCTAGACAGGAAGCCGCTATCCCTGAAAAGCAAAAAAAACAAAAGACAAAAATAGACTTTGAGACTCTGAAGCAGAGGACCTCAAAGCACCACTCAAATTCCTGGAACTTAAAGCCCTCCAAAAACCATCCGGGTTTAGGGTTTAGGGTTTTAGGGTTTAGGGCTTAACAGCCCATGCTAAAGCCCCCAAAAGAAAACTGAAGCTCCATAATCCCTCTTGACTCCTCCTCCGGCCGCGCCCAAGGCGTCCTGGTGGCGACTTCTCGTTCAAAGAGAAGTGATATAGGGGCCTAAGCAACTACCAACACAATCTCGGAGGTTCCTTATTGTACCTATATTATATCATGTACCAAAACCCTATTCTAATTACTAAGGCCCTACATTACAGGTTCGAAATTTGACGGTTATGGCACCTCAAATTCATGAGACTTCTTCGCACTAACCTGATGGCCTCGGGTAGAACCGCGATGGACTGGCAATGTCGGATCGTTGGGGGGGCAACGAACCCGAATCAACCTTCTGAAGCTAAGAATCTCAATGACCTCTCAAAACCCCATGAAACCGTACGCCCCCAACCATACTTCTTCAACCCGAAAGCGACAAACCGCATTCCTTCAACCCTAAGGCCACGAAGGCCACAAATACCATGCACAACAAAAATGAAAACAACGCACAATATGCTATCGAACCTGATCGAACTACTTTAAAATCTCATACAAAGACCTTACAACGCGATGATACCCTTGCAAACCCCCTACGCCTTAATCCTACACCCCAGCCTCCGAACCCCAAACCATTGCTCTGCGTACCAACACCCGCTCTGTCTGGGTCCTCGTCGCTTCTCCGGGAGCGAGGACCCTCCGGTCGATGGTCGGGATCCGGCTCAAGTTCTTGCGATCCTGGAGCCGCTAAGTGCTGAGGGTTTAGGGTTCTGGTTTAGAGGGCATGGTATAGGGTTTAGGGTAAAGGATTGGGGTTTCGAGTTTGGGAGTTTGAGGGGGTAGGGTTTTGGCTTCGAAAGCTATCAGGAGCTTGTAGAAAGTAATGGTCACGCAGCATTCGGCGCTAAGGAACCTAATCTCATCGGGTGTTACAGAGGGTCCTCGAGGGTTCAAGCACCCCAGAACCCTAACACTACCAACCCAACCTGCAACCCTAAAACCCTGAAGTCCTATGGCCCCTAAACTCCAAAATCCTAAGAAACTACCCGTCAACAAAAACGAAAATGCCGAAAAACCTCGTGTTCCTTCTGCTTGTCACCTGTCCTGCTTGGCGACAACCTCCCTCCACGCCCTGGAGCGCAGCCAAAGCGGCGCGTCAGTTTGAGGACCCACACTCCACTGCCTGAAGCTCACGGTTGCAAAGTGGTACTAAAAGGACGCATCAGACAGATACCAAAATCCATCACAAGTAGCGAAAACAAAAAAATGTCTGCAACATTACTTGGGGCACGGAACACTGCAATTGCAATTGCCGGTTCATGCATCGAAACTTCATGACCATTCTAAGCACGCAGAGAATCAGATTGGCCTGTAATCGAGGAGTCGCAGTAGCAATGGAAACAACCATGGTGATGTTAGCAATGACAACACTTGCAATCGCACTACCTGAAAATGGCCTTAATTCTCGTATCCTTCATTCTGATTGTCATAATCAGCCGCACTTCAACATTTTCAAGGTGCCACTCCAATCTTTCAAAAGTTGAAAGCACCAATGCTCCTGCACCTTTCGTTGAATTGTCACTGCATGGACAGAAACGAAACAGGCCACAGCTATGAATGGCTTGTACCGACTACTTCTACAAGGATACACACGAAACTTCTAATTCCCAAACCCAAAACTCCTAAGGGGACTCTGAACCCGTAGACTCTTGTGCTCCAAAGCCCAAGACCTACAACCTGAAACCCCGGAACTCCCCCTACACCCCTATGCTCTCGGGTCCCGGGCCCCCCCAACCCCATGGTATTCCGCCCCGCCCCCCCCACGCCCCAGTAGTTTCCAGCATTTGACATGAATTACAATGCTGACTTATAGAGTTGTATGGCGATGGTGATGGTAGCAGATATTCTTTTGATGGTATGCATCATGAAGATGACGACGACAAGGATGATGTTGAGCATGGTCTGATTGTCGACTCATGTCGCCGTCTAGAGCAGCACAACATCATGATCAGTATCACCGGTGCCACAGCAAGAAGGAAGATAGGGAGTATCACACAAGAACTTCCAGAACGGAAAAAGCCTCCGCTGAGAGCGGGAAGAGTACCAGCACAAACCCCCCACACCTCTGGGCGGCGGGGGGGGGGGAAGGGAGGAGGATACCATGGCATGACAAAGGAGGGGGGGTCGTGGGGGGGTGGCAGCCCCTGCATCACCTACATACCCGAAACCCTCGAAGGCTGCTGAAGCCAAGCTCCGGGCATGATTGCGTGGTCGTCTCCCCCCGCCGTGATCAGCTGCTCCTCCCGCGAGGTCTCAGGCTTTTTTTTAGAGAGGTCTCGGCTTCAGAGTTTAAGGTTTAGACTTTAAGGTTTAGAGTTTAAGGTACAGGGCAAGGGTGTAAGACCTGTTCGGGGTTTAGGGTTTACGGCGTAGGGCGTTTAGGGTTTAGAGTGGAATCTCTCGGCTCCTTTCGTCCGGTTCTTCTGAGCTAAAGGTTGAGGTGCAGACCGTAGGATTAAAGGTCTGGGGAATTAAGATTTTAAGTTTACGGTCTTGGGTTGGGAGGCTCCAAACCTTCCATGCAAAAGAACTGAACCGCGAATCTTAAACGGGAATTAACTTTCAAATGCCTGAAAAGTCTCAAGCCCAAAATTGACCTAAATCTGCAACGGTAGGGAGTATCTCCAAAACTAGAAGCTTAACCACGCAGCCCAAACCCCGAACTCGTGTCCTCGGGTGGGTCGCCTCCCTTGGGCAGCGGCACCATGGTGGTCACAAAGCCGGCGTGTCCGTCGAAGCTGTGGTGGCCTGCTGAAGGGAAAGTGGTGCCTTGTTTCCGGTTTTCGGCCGTGCCAGAGTGGTAAGCCCTACACCCTCAACTGTAAAGCCCCTAAACGCCTAACCCTTAAAGACTTAGAAAAGAAGGGCTTGGTTCCGCCGCTTTGTTGATCATATCAAGCTCAGCGTCTCCAAGGATAGCCGGGCCCTTGGCCCTTCTGCAAATGTAGCCGAGGCTGGCTTCAACTGCAGCGAACCCTGAACTCTGCGTGCTAGACCCTCAACCCTGAACCCGAGACCCTAAACCCTGGAGCCTACGTACGACCTAGACGATAAACCCTAGACCTTAAGTTTAAAGCCTAAGCCTGAACTGAAAACGCGAAGAGATCTAACATCAACAACACCAACAGCAAGCAACGTCAAAAGCCACAGCCACAACAAGAAGAGAAAACACCTGATGTCTGCACATGATATGACAACAATGACGAACTCCTAAGTCCGAGAACTGATCAGTTACGTATTGCAGGCATACTGCCCGACAGCCTCATCTTAGACATCACCCTCCCCGAATAAGGCGATCCGAATATCAAGGCTCTGAAACACATCAGGGTTTACTGATCAGGGGTCTGGACTAGAGCCTACACCCGTGCAGTACCCTTAAAGGAACCCTAAACCTTCAACCCGGAATCCTAAACCCCAAACCCGTAAAGGTACCCTGTAGATTTTAGGGTTTGGGGGTTTAGGGAAACCCTAAACCCCAAACCCGTAAAGGTACCCTTAAAGGTACCCTTACAGCCCTGACGGCCCGAGCCGTGCGTCCTTGGCCCTCCAGGGCCGGATAGCTGTAGAGCTGCACGGAGTGGGAGGTGTCGCCGAAGACCAGCAGCTCCTTGCCTCGCACAGACAAGTCTTAGAGCTTAGAAGTTATTATTTTAGAGTTTAGGGTTTAGAAGTTAGATTTTACAAAGCTTATAACTTAGAGTTTATGGAGTTTTGAATTTAGAGTTTAGGGTTTAGAGTTTAGAACTCCAGAGCCTAGACGTTGAAGCTTAAGGAGTAGGAGTCAGGGGCTTTGGGTTCAGAGTCTTGAGCGTGGGCCGTAGAATTTTGGGCCCAGGGCTTCGAGTTTACAGAGTCTTCGGGGCTTAGAGTTTGGAGTCGCGGATTTGGGGTTTTGAGTTTAGGGTTTACAGTTGACCCGAAACGTTAAACCAAGATTTCAGGGCTTAGGGCTTCTTGCCCGCAAAAACACGCAAAATTTCGGTGATTCGCCGCCTAGGCCCTGGACCCAGGCACCAAAGACCCAATGAATACAAACTATTGCTGTTATTACAGTAGTACGAAATACTACTCACAAAATTACAGCTATTATTCATGCGACCATTATGGCTGTTCTGATTGTGACTAATTATAGATTCAAGCATTGCTGACACCCAGTTGCTGAGAGCTGCCGCCGCAGTGCCGGTGTTCGGAACCTCACCTGCAGGAGCAACTCAGAAGAACTTTCTCCCGCTTGAAAATTGCACCCGTAAAACTGACCCTCAAAATAATTCGCATAGAAACCATCAAAATAGTCCTTCCTATAGCCCTTGGAGTATGGAACAGCAACCCTAAAGCCTAAGCCACTAAACCCTAAACCTAAAAAAAAGAGTGTAAGGTTCCGGTTGTGATCGAAACCCTAAACCGCTAAAGCCCAAACCCCTATAAATCCTAAACCTAGAAAAAGAAGGGTATAGGGCTCAGATTTTGAAGTAGACGCCCCCCCAAATGTCTGAAGCTGGAGCTCCCACAGTCTCTTCACGAAGACTTCCGAGGACCCCGGGACTCCAAAACCTCCTGCCTAAGGGAGTTCCAGGATTTAGGGCTTAGGGGTCTATAAGGGTTCTATGCTAGGGTATCGCTAGGTTTTGTAGGGGTGCTGCGAATCGACTAATTGCGGATCATACCTTAAACTCATATGGCTTACTTCAAGTTTGTCTGCGGACGTGCCAATATAGGGGCCTTAGTAATTAGAATAGGGTTGGTGGGGGGGTATACAATACTATATCTGTAGTAACGACCCCCCCAAACATAGTACGAGTGAATATTTAGGCCCTTATGTTACACCCCTTATGTTACACCCAAAATGCCGAGCCTGCAGCTGCGAGGGCGGTGAGGGATCGAAGGCTCGTGCAGGATTTCACGTCCGGAGCGCAGAAATGTCGGTTTGCGGCCCAGACACCGGTCCTCTGCTGCAGCGCTTGTGGGCATGTGGATCTGTAACTGGTGCTACTTTAAATACGGAAGCCCTATATAAATACGAAAACCTGAACCCTGAAACCCTAAACTTAAAGAATTCGTACGGAACCCAATATGCCCCTTGAAACGAAAGAACAAAACAGAGTCCGAGGTGCGCGGCTTCACGTTTCGGGCTAAGTGTTTGAAGTGCTGGAGTCTCGCGTGCTGAAGCTTCCCGGGGTTCACAAGGAATAGGCTTGCGGGCTGAGGATTTCATGTTGAAGGCAGTTGAGGCTTCTATAGTGCTTCGTGTGTGTTGCTGCTTTTCTTCGAGCTTAGAGCTTAGGCGTTGGTGTTTAGATTATTCCTACATAGCAACCTTCCTACATAGTAGCAGCAACAATAGACCCTACTGTAAACCCTAAACCCTAGGGTTTAGGGGGCTGGGAGTTCAAGGCCAGGGCCTGCGCATGTCCTTGCGCTAGAGACGAGGGAGGGCCTTTTGCGAACCCCAACACCCAGCGCCCTCCTCAAAATTTAGGGCTTGTAAGGTTTAGGGGTTAGGGTTTAGGGGTTTAGGGTTTGGGGGTTTAGGGTCTCAGGGTTTTGCACAAGCCCGGAACGATAAAGCCCTGAACCCCAAACCCCAGAGTAGGGCTTGTGGGGTCTGTAACCAGGGTTACTTGCAGGACAACAGGACAAAAGCGTGCACGGTCGAAGAGGCTAAACATGAGAACCCTGCGGGCCCCAAAGCCCAGATCTTAAATCCCAAACCCCCCCGAACCCCAAACCCCAAACCCTAAACCCCGAAACTCTAAATCCCAAGCCCAAACCGCACAACCGGAACCCTAAACCCAAAGGCCGAAAGATCGAACACCCAAAACTGGCAAACCCCTGCGTGCCCGGCTTCGTCGCCCAACCTGCCGGGCAGGTCCAGCGCCTTGCGTTTAGGGTTTGGGGTGTGGGGGTTTAGGTTTTAGGTTTTAGGGTTTAGGGCATAGTATAGGGTTTCGAGTATAGGGCTTCGGGTGTAGGGTTTAGGGTTTCGGGTATACAGTTTAGGGTTGAAAAGGCACTCCATCCCTCTCAATCTGCCTGTCTACGACTGCTGCATGTGTGGGGGTAGACAGTGAACCTATCTGTCGATCTAACTTCCTATCTAATTATCTATCCATCTACCGATCTATCCATCTACCCATCTACCTATCTACTCCACTAACCATCTATCGGTCTATCTGTCGGCCAATCTTCCCTTAGAGATATCTATCTACCTATCTACCCATCCACAATCTGTCGAGTCGATCTGTCTGTCGATCCACCCATCTGTCTGTCTACCTATCCGTCTATCTATCCGTCTATCTATCTGTCTGTCTTTCCATCTAGTCATCCACCGCTTTGTCCATCTTTCTTTCCTTTTGACTATCTATGTACCTATGTCTAACCTACCTGGCCAACTAGCGAACTTTGAGTCTATGTGCATATGTGCGTACGTGTGTTGTATGTATTTATGTCTACACACACAAACACACACACACACACACACACACACACACACACACACACACACACTTGACTGCTCATCCTTGCTCACTAAGGTAGAAAGAAGAAAGACAGCGAGGCCGGTGGCCAGGATGCAAGTCGTATTTGTGATTCGTGACCATGTATATAATGAAAATGCTGATGGCAAGGTAATGGCAGTAATGACGGTACGTCATGTGAGCGAGACATACTCACCATTCGATGCTCACGAATACTGCTCATGGTGATTACTGGTGCTTAAATCAAAGGCCTCCTAAACCCACACTCCATGCAGGTGGACCGTGACACCCTTCGTACCCTTATCCTGTTCATCCAACAACCCCAAATCCTATGTCCTATGACCTGAACCCCAGGCTTTCGGGTCTAGGGCTGAGAGGGTTGCGGTCAGGGTTTAGGGATTGAGCCCTAACCCTAAACCCTAAACCCCTAAACCCCTAAACCCTAAACCATAAACCCCTAAACCCTAAACCCCTAAACCCTAAACCCCTAAACCCTAAACCCTAAACCCCTCAAGAGCAGGATAAATAGAAATTGTGTGATTTTCGTTTCGATTTGCAGTTGCAATAGTTTCAAATTTTCATTAAACGCGTCCAACCAAATTCCAGCCCAAGCCAGCCACAGCAGCCCAGCCCTGCAGCCGACCCGCCCAGCCCACCCAGCCCACCAGCCAGCTCGGCCCAAAATGAAAACTTCAAGTCAAAAAACAAAACCCTCCCAAAACTTTCGCTCAAAACTTTCGCCCAAAACTTTCGGTCAAAACCCCGAAAATTTCTAGCCACCAGCTGGGCGCTAGCCCAGCCACTATCAAAAGGACCCAAGAGCAGGACTTTCGGTCAACTCACCTAAACGGACCAAACCGCCAACCCCAGCCCCAGCCACAGCGCCGGCTCCAGCCAACCCCAACCAGCCCAGCCCACTCCCAGAATCAAAACACCAAAGTAAAAAACGAAACTTTCGCTCAAAACCCGCTCAAAACCCCGGACCCAAGCCCCCACCAGCCCACTCGCAACATGAAAACATCAAGTTAAAAAACAAAACTTTCGCTCAAAACCCCGGACCCAAACCCTATACAATTTCTATAAACCACTAAACCCTAAACCCCTAAACCCTAAACCCTAAACCCCTAAACCCTAAACCCTAAACCCCTAAACCCTAAACCCCTAAACCCCTAAACCCCTAAACCCTAAACCCTAAACCCCTCAAGAGCAGGATAAATAGAAATTGTGTGATTTTCGTTTCGATTTGCAGTTGCAATAGTTTCAAATTTTCATTAAACGCGTCCAACCAAATTCCAGCCCAAGCCAGCCACAGCAGCCCAGCCCTGCAGCCGACCCGCCCAGCCCACCCAGCCCACCAGCCAGCTCGGCCCAAAATGAAAACTTCAAGTCAAAAAACAAAACCCTCCCAAAACTTTCGCTCAAAACTTTCGCCCAAAACTTTCGGTCAAAACCCCGAAAATTTCTAGCCACCAGCTGGGCGCTAGCCCAGCCACTATCAAAAGGACCCAAGAGCAGGACCCTGAGCATCCCATATTGATTACAATCAATATCTTGATTTTGATGGTTCGCGAAATCAATATGTCATATTGATTCTTTGACCATCCATGATCAATATGTAAAAATCAATATACAGATCAATCTACAAATCAATATGCACATCAATATACAAATCAATATGCGAATCAATATAGTTAAAAATATATTGATATGTTTTGAGAACCACGTGCTGCGAAAACGTCCAGTACAGTCAGCTGCCTACCGAGCTATAAGCCGCTAAGCCAGCAGATCTTTTCCAAGAGTCTGCCAATGTGTGTAAGAGTCGCATCAGTCTTCCCAGATGCTCTGGCTTGTGAGAAGGAATCGCTCACTGCGGATCAAAAGGTGAAGCAACACTCGATACTTGTTCGCAACTTTAAGCGACAGCCTCGAGCTCGCGACACCCATGCTTATCGAGTGGGCCAGGCGGCTCAGTTGTCCGACGAAGTCCTCGGATTTGAAGCACCACTGCATTCTGGGGTTGAGGAATTTGGAATTCCAGAGCAGATGAATGAAAGTGTGGTGCTTCGCCACGACTGCAAAGGAATTCCGCCCCTTTTCCAAGGACCAGTCATGCAGCCACGAATAATCATCCAAGAAACCTTTTCCAAGGTTCAGAGACCGGGAAAACTCCTGGTCTGTGAGCACTGGCCCTGCCTCGTCCCACAAAGCCACCAGCTTTTCCAAGCAGTTGGCTGCAGAGATCATTTTCTGCTCGTGAGGCTTTTCCAAGCTAAACATTCTCTTGAGGACTGGCACAAGGCAAGGCAACAAATGCTTCGCCTCTCCTCCTTTGCAATCCAGATCTGCACTCCTTTTCCAAGGATTTTTGGGGTCGCACAGCATGCTGAGCTTCAAGTTTGTCAGCCTGCAGGCAACTTTATTCTCGGAGTACTCTGCTTGCACTTGCGAGAAGATGAGTGCCAGCCTTTCCCAAGGCTTCTTCTTGGCAACCACACCGGGCCCCTCATAGTAGCAAGCATAATGCAAAATGCCGCCTATGAGGTGACCGTACAAGCCCTTGGTGAAGAGAATGTGCAAGGGGTCGCCCCTCACGTTGGCTGCTGTGACCCCGGGCAGCTGAAAAAGCGCATGGTTGGATACAGGGTGACCTGCATGCTCTGCAGGTGTCCAAACTCGAAAGGTTTGCTTTTCCAAGCTAATCTGCTTGTAGTGTTTTTCCAAACAGCAGCCTTTCCAGTTCTCTGCATCACATTCCCAGCACGGGAAGTGGGAGGCCCAATGGCCAAGCTTCAAATGGTTGGCGAAGAAGTCGTGATCCCCTATGATGGCCCAGATATAGGCTTTCCAGCCATCTGGGTGCAGGGGTTTTCCCCTGTTTTCGTACAACGGGCTGCCTTTTTCCAAGGGCAGCCCGTTGTAATCTGTTTCTGGGTGGAAGCCTTTCCCAAGGCTTTCAAAGCTCCACTTGAGCACCTTCCCAATGGGCTCCCATGTTCGTGGAGCGGTGCAGCTTTTGGGAAACGATGCCAGGTACAGGTTCGTTTCCAGGGAGCTCAAGCCACAACCCAAAGCCCCGAAGGAGAAAGTGAGCAGACTGTCTCTACTTTGAAATTCCACCCCATCGCCATGTAAAAACAAAGGCACTGTCTTCTCCCTCCAATCCTTTTCCAAGGTCATGGGATGGGCATTTAGCTTGCTATCCCCGCTTTTTTCCACCTGCTTCCAAAACTTTCCCAAGCTGTCGCAGTTAAAGGTTTTCTTGAAGAACTCGGGGTAGTTGGCGCCCAAGTTCGCAAAGACCAGGTGTGGCAGGAAGACCTGTGCCTCCTCATCCTTTTCCACGGATAGTTTCTCGGGGTCCTTTTCCAAGGATGCCTCGTCCTTTCCCAAGCAGGCTTTGTTGTCAAGGCATCGTATTGAAACTTTGCAGGCTTCGTCCAGGCCAACATTCCTTACAAACCTTCGCATCAGCTGCTTGTGAATGTTGCCTGGCTGCTCGCCCCAGTTGCCTGCCTGAGCAATCTCCAAAAGGTCTGGGTGCTTTGCACCGTCCACCACCGCCAAGGAAGCAAGCTCCCGAATCATGGTCGCACTGAGCTTCCCGTGAGCCCACAATGCGAGGAGCTTGGCGGCCAAGCTGGAGGTTACTTCGTCCTTTTCCAAGGCTTCTTTGGCGAACTCCGGCAATTCATCGTTATTCTTTCTTTGAGCTTTTCCAAGCTCCTGGTCCATCTTCCAGCCTCTCAAACGTTTGGTCATGGCTTTCCTCGGTTTTTCCGAGCCTATAGATACATGTAGCTGGCGGCTTCTATCCCAAACTGCACAGGCGACTGCTGCAGCAGCTGTTTCTTTGAACCTAAAGGTCTGCAGACGTGCAGTTTCAATGCATGCTTTCGAACAAAACATGCACACAGACATACCCTGGAGAAAAGAGTCCTACAAGGCTGCAAAGGTTTTTTTTCGGCGGCGGTGCTTGTCGCTTCAGAGTCCGGCCTAAGGGTGCTTCTTGCCTTAAAAGTTGTTGTTGCTTATTCTTTCGAAGCTGTGTAGCACTGCATGCATATTATGCTATAGCTATGGCCTAGACGACTGTGCTCGAAGCTGTTGCTGCACCTAGGGCTGCAGGCTAAGTCTGCAAACGGAAGGGCCTACTCGGAACTGCAGCTACTCAAGCTACTCAGAAAGCTTTCCCAAGCTTATAGAGCCTGCACAGCTTTCCGAAGCCTTCAGCGGCGAGCTTTTCCAAGCTCTGAGGCCCTTTCCAGGGCTCACTTCCTCTTGCTGCTGGCAACACTTGGAGCCTTGTTCTCCAGGTGTCGCAGCTCTTTTCGCTCGTCTCGAGCCTGCTTGATCACTTGGGCTGTGGTTTCCAACACCTTCTTCAGAGCAGCGAGCCCTTGCT